ATTTGAATGCAAAGCGTAAAAATATTAAAAGCAAATAAAATAGTATTTTTTTGGAAAAAGCTCATATGCCATCTAGTACACGTGCAATATTTTCACAAAAAGTTTATTATACTTACAGGTTTATCAGTCATATTAGAATTTTACAATATGCACACATGTACGATGATATCAGGAATCGTAACTATATAATCACTTTTTTTGCATAAAATTCTGAGCACATTGAATAAAATTCACGAATAAATACGACAGACAAAAGACTACATGGGCTGCGATCGGAACGCAGCCATGAGATGCGACCACATGGCAGATGATGCAAAATAGCGGGAAAAGTCACGCAAACGCATTATAAGTTTGTGGTCTATTCGTCTTTGCTGCGCACGCGCATTATATATATATATATATAGCTTACATTTTACTTCTCTCATTTTGACTGTTATATGACCTTTTGTTATTCTTTAAAAATATACCTTAATATTCTATAAAACTCGCAGAAAATTATAACAAATCATGTAATTTGTAATAATATATTATTATACACATCATAAATATCATAAAACTGCATGTCATAAATCAGTCTTTGCAAAGTAAATTTTGATGTCAATCATTATTTTATGACATAGAATTCATCATTTTAACGTCACATTGACGTTTTTGTGATTAACTTGTTCTACTTGGGTAATATACTGTGCAATTGATCATGTAACTTTATTGTAAACTGTGAAAATTATCGAGTACGCGTGCTCAAGAATAGATCTAACAAAACAGAAGACTTACTCGAAACAGATTGAGGCTCACCGATAAAACTCCAAATATTATTAAACATAACATCATTGTCTCAATATTAAACATAAAGACTGTGGATAAGCTATAAAAATAAAAATTTGTTATTATGTGTAGCATCCCAAGTAGCAAACTGACGTTTAATGACGTCAGTTTGCCACTTACAGTTGGAGTAGGTACGCATATCATATATATACCAACTCCATAGCTTGTCGATGAATGTTCACAGCGCAAATTAAACCCTTGTATATGAAAATGTATTTCAACTGATTCATATTTTGTAGAATGTTGTTGCTCATTGCTCGTTCGATACGATAGCTATAAATAATATTTGTGTTCCAATTATTATACACACAATAAATTCTTATGTAAAATATTTTTTCAGTTAAACAATTGCCCAGGTAGCAAGCGTACGTCATTTTAACATTAAATGACGTCATTACACGTCAAAATATGACATTATTTTAACATTTAACAAATGTCAATTTGCTATTTGTGTGTTGAACAGTTTTGTTTATAAGTATTCGTTCAAAAGTGTATAAATATTTATGGCGTATTTTGTGTTTACATCCGCACATACCTGGCAATTTTAAACATTCCACAAACAAGTTGAAGATACGTAATGAACATTGTTCCTATCGCTACCATTGCAGTCACCCCAATAATAAGCGCTGCAATAGTATGCAAGAGTATAAAATAAAAATATTTTTGTTGATCGATAAAATACTCCGTCATGATTATCAAATGATGCGATCTTGACTCGTTTATCGATGAAATAATATTTAAAATATCCGACCAAAGTGACGCAAAAATGACAAGAAATATGCTACAAATAGCAAATACTGAAAAGGTGTCAGAAATATTATTTAATCTTCTGTCATATAAGTTTTTAAATTAAGTTACATATTATCTAATTCTAATTGCATATTTTAATTGAGTCCTTAATTTTCTTTCATTAACCAATGTGTGATTGATCCATAATATTAATGGCCGCCATTTTTATCACTTTATTCCAGTTTTGAAAATATTTGTTACTGATATATTATCTACACAGAAAACTATTATATTATATACCCTAAAAATGTTGCAATATTCTATGGATATTCTCTGAATATCTTTCGAACATTTCTGCTGTTAAAGTACTTTGTTAAGAAATGGTTTTTATGAGTTTTCAAAAGTGAAATAAAAAGTGAATGATAAGAAAAAAGTATAATCGTATTTGTGCAAATCTAAAACGATTATCTTACCGGTAAGTGATATAGTATAACGTACGCCATAACATCCATATTTGTTTATAATAGCAATTTCATTTTCGTCTTTCAATTCATTACACACATGCAATAATCGTTCCAATAAATCCTTCATCTATTTCAATAATTTCATATCTTATACAATAAATAATAATGTCAGAAAACATGGCATAATAATAAGTTATTGAACAAATTTTTTCCGTCTTATAAGTTAGGTATGAACTTACACCGTTGATATTAACATAAAACATGTTGTATTTTATCATAAACAATGTAAAAAAAACTACGAAGGATAAAACTTTAATGATGAGATCCGCAGTACATTTTTGTGAAATAAATACTGTACACTGCAAGTAAAAATTAAATGTATTTGCATTGAAAAATTATTAAGTTTATGTCACGTGTGCATATGGACACATGAACTGTGTATTTTACATTATATATCACTAATTTAAAAAATTATAATTATTTTTGATAAAATTTTATTTACAATAGAAGTATTTAATAAAGTCAAATGCACATGTATTAAACACATATACGTATATATACGTGTTTTGATATTTGGTATGTGTGTATGTGTGTGTAAATAATAAATATTAAAATGTAACACTTCACCGATCATTTTAATTTTTACATCAAAAAACGCGATAGCATTTCGTTAATTGTAAGATTTTTAATATTCGCAGTCTCATCTGAAAGAGACTACCTCGTATTATTTTCTGAAATATAAAAGCGCTTATTTATAAATAAATTAAAATGTAATAAAGTAATTAAAGTATTATATATATGTAAATAATAAAATTAAATAATATTGACATACTTATTTATACATGTGTATATATTTTTATATTTATTTATATAATATTTTTCTATCTAATTCTATAAAAAATCTAGATTATTTTTGTATCTTAAATAAGCAGTTTTATTTAAATAAACAATTCATATATTTCAGAAACCATATTGTATGTCATTCCAGATTCTGTTGTTTCTAATACAATGTATGTAAAAATCAAAATGATTTATAAGTGTAACCTTTTCGGACAATATTTATCATATACACAATTAATCTATATAAAAGCAAAATTATGATTATATACAATTATCATGTAATTAATATTATTATTCAATGCTAATCTAAATTGTGATTTATAAATTTTATGGTAAAAATTGCTTGCCGTAATTCATATATTACACGATATTAGTAATTTAGTAAAACTTACTTGAAATATTACCTGTGTCGTTAAAATACTAGACAGGAAAATAAATTGAAATCGAGTGAGATTTGATTGTTGTAAGGGCCACACGCCTAGAGCGAGCAGAAGAATTTTATGTATACGAAAATGGTTAATCTTGACGCCGGTCATCTCTTCGCAAAGTCTGAGACATGAATGATTGTGAAGAGCAGCCGACGAGAGTCGGCTTATCCCCCTCTTCTTCCTCATCGTTTACTTATTATCTGTTATTTACTTATCACCTTTGGTGTAAATTCTAGCGCATAAATTACTTAATTTCGTATAATACAAGGTGGTATAAGATATCTTGTCTTATTGTATTACCTTAGAGTCGGAGTATTCGTATTATTTCAACACTATTTTTCGAAATAAAGTAGAATTACGCAATCAATTTAATAACAAAAGAAATTTACTTAAAATTTTTTTTCCACAAAAAAGGGGAGAAAATATTGATAGAATTATGTATAATTACGCGATCAATTTATATAACAGAAGAAATTTACTTAAAGTTTTTTTCCCCTACAAAAAGGGGAGAAAATATTGGTAGAATTATGTACATACCTATATTTACGCGAAAGTCGCGCATGCGTAATCGTCACTTTTTTATAACAGAATTTTGCACCCTTTATTTCATCGCGCGCTTTCGTGACATACGTATGTTTCTTGAGAACAATATTCAGCTTTCAGTGGTATAGTATGTATAATATATGTAGTGCTATTTTTGAAGGCAAATTAATTAGTTTTTGCTATACGGCAATTATCAAATCCTAAAATTTACGGGATTAAGATTTTAATATTTTCAGAGCAAAATAACATTATCGATTTTCTCAGATCAATGCGTTGAAAAATGTAATACATAATAATATCTTGAAATAACTTAATTTCTTAATCTTTTTTTACATAAAACATCATCTCTAAACTAGATAGACAAAATAATTCTATACAAGTATATTTTAACTTTTTTAATATATTAAAAATATATATATATATAAAAATATTTATGTTATTTATTATAACTATATATTCTCTTATAGTAGATATAGATTAAAACAATTTTATGGAGATAATTTTATAAAAGAACTAAATATAAGTGAGTGACAATTTCATGTATTGAAGTTGTTATATTGATTTCAAAGATAATTATATTATATAGAATAATATGTGTAGGAACACAAATTGTTTTAGATCGATTTATTAATTTGGAAACTTTTATATAATTATATTTTTCTTATTTTTACTTTTAAATTTTAAATATCTATACAGATGCTAACATTAAATATTTATTAGAAATGTTAGATAATATATATAATATGCACTGTTGATGTCAAAATTGAAAGCAGTAAAGTATTTATATAAATATATGTTATATTTTATTATATTCAATGTATATATATATTTTTTTTTATTTATTTATATACTATATATATATTTTTTTTTATTTTATATATGTATATATATAAAATAATATTTTGTATATATATATATTAAATGCAATATTCAATTTTAATGCGCTGAAAGAATGTAAAGCATAATATAATATCATGAAACAATTTTATTTTTTTATTTTTTGCATGAGAAACTATTTATAAACTAGCAGGCGGACAAAATAATTTTAAAAAGGTGTATTTTTATTTTTCTAATATATTAAAAATATATTAATATCATTTATGTTCTTTATTATATTCTTATCTATATTCTTTTACTGTAATTATATTTAATTCAAATTACTATTGTTTCATCATTGTGTAGAATATATGACTGTAAAATAAGATACTGAAGTCTTTACTAGCTAGAAAATAAAAGACATTTATTATTTTTATATTTATCATATATGCTATTTTATAAATATATATATATATATATATATATATATTTTATTATCTTCTTTACCGTAGCAAAGCACTCTATAGATGGAGTAAACAGTCCACTGATGTTCAAAGTAAAATTTTTGTAATTTTTTTGCAACAGAAACAGTATTGTTTTCTGTATACATAACGGAGCTATGTACCATTTAACATTATATCTAGAAAATAAATTTGTAAATGATTAATCTGTAAAGAGATAACATCTTTAAACGCATTATAAAACAGTTCTTTATATATAGTATATCTTTATACATGCTGTTTAGCAGATACGTTTATTCTTACGCGGTAGTAAATATATGTTCATTGTGATTCGTTATAACTTGACCGATATAATTGGATAGAAACATATATAAGACAGTAATCAATGTGAATATAAAAGGTATTACGCATTGTTTGACAGACTCTTTGACCGATAAAATCTGAAAAATCTAAAGCAAATCTGAGATGTTTCACGATATATTATACACGTTTAACAAAAAAAAATTTTCCTCAATTACAAGAATAAAAAGAATTCCTATATTATTTGCAGCGTTTAATATGGTTTCATTACTTTTTGTGGTTTAAAATTTTTCAGAATTGTAATGTGATAATAGAAATTTATAAATTAGAATCATTTTTGGTATTAAAAATGACTACGAAAAATAATTACACTGTTCTTGTATTTTTTTTTGTTAAATTATCTAATCGATTATCGTGCAGTATAATTTGTGACCATATCTATAACAAAATAAACTCTCCTTTTTTTCTTAATAATGTTCCTGGAATCTCGTTAACCATGTTGGAATTGTGATGTCAAAGGCGAAAAAGTAAACGCTAAAAATTCTTAGGTGCTTTTTTAGATAATATATTTCGATGAAACATGATTTCAGATGGCTTTAACAAACTTAAAATATTCCGAAAACTTTTTCCCTTTATAATTATAGTCAATAGCTGTAAAATGACTAATCTAATAACAAAATAATTTTACAGTTGTTGATTAACTGTCAAGAGAAAAAAATATAGGAATTGTGTTTCGATCAATATATCATTTTATCTAAAAATGGTACACAAGAATTTTCAATATTTATTTTCTCGTCTCTGACGTCACAATCCAACATGGCCGCGAGAAATACCAAGGAACATTAATGCTAAAATTATAGATTTTATTCGATTTATTCGAATATAGAATATTATCTAGTGTCAATTACTTATGAATAATCAATCGATAATATTACGTTCTCTATATTAGGATTAAAATAAGACCATTTATAAATTATATGTTATCGATTAATTAATGATTCTATGACCATTTTTAATAAAAATAAAAAGTGACGAATTAACGAAGTCACCTGTAGCAAGCGTACGTAATTTTGATGTTTAATGACGTCACTTTGCTACTGGGACCTAATATAGTGAGCAGTTGATCTTATAACTTCATACATATATATCTCATGAAAATTATCGAGTGTTTTCTCAAGAATAGATTTAACAAAACTGAAAACTTACTCGAAACAGATTGAGGCTCACCGATAAAACTCCAAATAATATTAAACAGAACATCATTATCTCAATACTAGACAGCAAGTCTGTGGTTAAACTTTAAAAATAAAAGTTTGTTACTATATTATACCGTACGCATTATCGAGCACGTACAAACCTCATAGCTCGTCGATGGATATTTACAGCGCAAATTAAACCTTTGTATATGAAAATGTATTTCATCTGATTAATATTTTGTAGCATATTGATGTTCATTGCTCGTTCGATACGATAGCTACAAATAATATTCGTGTTCCAATTATACACAATTATTTCTCATATAAAATATTTTTTTAGTTTAAGGGGATCCTAAACGGTTGGCCGAACTCCGACGGATGCTTTGAGAAATCTTTTGTTTTTTTCCTTTTTTATCGAGAAATATAAGATTAGATATAAACTATAAATCTATTTATTGGCTATACCGATTGTTTTTTATATGAAATTAGATCGCTTCCTCTTTTGTTAATATTAATACTTTAATTTGTACAGGGAGGGAAAAAGATAGTCTCATATATCTTAGTTACAGAATTATAAATTAATAATTATATAAGCATTCATAATTTTGTAACCAACATATATAAAACTATACAGAATGATAAATCTTTTTCCTGTACAAATTAAAGTATTAATATTAACAAAGAAGGAAGCGTTCTAATTTCAGGTAAAAAACAATCCGTATAACCAATAAATAGATTTATAGTTTATCTAATCTCACATTTTGTCGATATAAAAAAGGAAAAAAACTTTTCGCAGCATGCGTCAGAGTTCAGCCAATCGTTTAGGATCCCCTTAAACTGCCCAAATAGCAAGTGTACGTCATTTTGACATTTAATGACGTCAGTTTGCTATTTGTGTGTTAAACTGTTTCGTTTGTGAGTATTCGTTCAAAAGTACATAAATCTTTATGGCGTAATTCTCGGTTACATCTACATACCTGGCAATTTTAAACATTCCACAAACATAATGAAGATATGCCAAAAGCATTGTTCCAGTCGCTATTATTACAGTCGCCCCAATATAAAGCGATGCGATGGAATGAAACATTATAAAATTAAAATATTTCTTTTGATCGATAAAATATTCCGTCATGATCAACAATTCATCTGATCTTGACTTGTTTGTCGGTAAAGTAATATTAAAAATATTCAACCAAAGTAGGAAAAAAGTAGAAAAGAATATGCAGCAACCGCCAAGTACTGAAAAAGATAATAAAATTGTCACTTAAATTTCTGTAAGTTTTTTAAATTGATCTACATTTTATCTCATTCCCATTGCATATGTTCCCAGACAGCACACAATATTTATAATAAAGAAAGATTTATGAATATTTATGAATATATATTTTTTCCAAATATTATATAAATATTTTCAAAATGTGTTATAAAAACCATTATTTAACATATTATTAAAACATAGATTAAATATTTCATATAATATTTATGGTATGTAAAGATAAATATTTATAGTAATTATTTTGTAAATATTTTTAACTAAATTGTTAGTTCTTTCATTTACTGTGATGCTATGTGACGTATTTTTCTCGTATTTGATTTTTGTCGCGAGAATTATATAAGGCTGGCAAAAACAGAAATTTATAAAATTAAAAATAAAATTATTTCTATTTTTGAGCTACATTCTGCAACAGAATGTCTAATAACAAAGAAAAAAATTATATATATATCGATGTGTACATAAATTTATTTGTTAAACTATTCTGTTGCCTAAGTATATTCACAGTACATATTATAATTTTATATTCTATTTTAAAATAAATATCTAATAAGTTATTTATAAACATTTTTAACTTTTTATAAATGACTAATAGAGTTTGAAAAATACAAAAATATCTAATCGACCAAATTTTAGATTAGATTATATTAACCAATCGTTTTGATTAAAAAATCGTTGATTATGTTTCTTTAACTTATCATTATTCTTACTGAGTATTTATTAAAGAAAATATAAATTTTAAAAAATCTGTATCATAATGATTTAATAAATATATTTATAATATTTATCGTAAATATTTTCTGATACAAATATTTTTTAATATTCTATACTGTCTGGGTTAATTAGAATTTTAATTTCCTTTCGTTAAACATTGATTTATAATCGATGAAATTAATGGCTGGCTTTTTTATTATTTTACTCGAGATATAAAAATATTTGTTATTAATTCAATGATAACTTACTAAATAAATTTGTTATTAATTATTGATCTACACAAGAAAATTATTGTATATTATGTTGAAAAATAGATTTTCTGAGTTTCCGAAAGTGAAATCTTCCGAAAGTGAACTCTTGCATTTTAGCACTATTAAGGAGAAAATATATCGTATTTGCAAATCTAAAACAATTATCTTACCTGTAAGTGACACGGTATAACGTTTGCCAATACATCTATATTTGTTCATAATAGCAATTTCGTTTCCGTCTTTTAACTCATTACATATATGCAATAATTGCCCCAATAAATCCTTTACCTATTTCAATAATATTATATCACTTCTTATACATAATAATGTCAGAAAACAAATGATATAAATTATTCAACAAGTTTATGCCATTTCACCAGTAAGCTGTCAATTTACGATAGCAATAATTTAAGCTGTCAACTTACAGTTTCAAGATTAACAAAGAACATGTTGTATTTTATCACAAAAATTGCAAAGAAACATACGGAAGATAAAATTTTGGTGATGAGATCCGTAGTACATCTTTGTGAGATAAATACGGTACACTGCAAATAATAATTTTATTTAATTTGCATTGAAAAATTATTGTTTTAATGCCACGCGCGCATCCATACATATATACTGACACATAAATTGTGTATTTTATATTATTTCTATAATTTTAAAAAATTGATTATTATTTGTGATAAAATATTATTCATTATAAAAATGTTTAATAAATTAGAATGCACACATGGCTTTAACACATATTGGTATTTTGATATTCTATAAGTGTGTTTGTGTGTGTAAACGATAAATATTAAAATGTTACACTCATCGATCATTTTAATTTTTACATTAAGAAATGCAGTAGCATTTTGCTAAGGTATTTTTTAATAACTGTAAAGTTTCCTCAAAAGATACTATAATTTTCTGAAATAAGAATGCTTTTAAAGAATAAATTAAGATATAATAAAATAAAATAATTAAAATTCATTTGTATATTTCATTAATTAAAAACTTGAAAAAACATTCCCAAAATTTGTAAATTTTGGTACCAATTTCGAAAAAATCGATCCATAAATATGTAGATGCGTGGGTGATTGAGGGTGTAAAACTTTGAAAAAACTACATAGTAACAATCCCCGAAAAATTTGCAAAATTTTGATACCAATTTCGAGAAAATCAGTTTATAAATGTGTTGGTGACGGACAGTACCAAAGTTAGAGCAACAGACATTTCGAAAATTCAAAATTTTATTAAAAATAAAACAATGTATAAATGTATAAATAAAAATTAAAAAAACAATAAAACAATGTATAAATTTTTATAAAAATTAGACTAAATAAAAGAGTTGTATTACTTTACTTTTATATCAATTTGGAGTGCTGTAAGTCAAATATAGTTCTTGAGATATTTAAATTTAAATTTAAAATGGGCACATACATGTACTCATACATACATACACACTCACATACGGACATTTAAAAAAATCGTTCGATGTTTTGGAACATTCTGAACACACTGGCATAGAAATCGAAAAAAATATTTTCACGAAAACAGAATTTCCTTTAAATTCGATAAAAATAAAAATTAAAATAAAAAAAGTTATTTTTCGACGTTTTGAAACATTCCGAACACACTGGCATAAAAATCCAAAAACTTTTTTTTCACGAAAACAGAGCTTCCTCTAAAATTAAAAAAATTTTTTAAATTTAAAAATAACCCACACAGCATCTTATTTCGAAGAATTTGCAACATTTTGATGAAAATTCGTTTATAAATGTAGTTCGCGGTCAGACAGAATAGACAGACCGATGGTACTTATATATATAAATTATTATTACATATATAATAATTTATTAAAACTTACTTGAAATATAACGTGTGTCGTCAAAATACTGGACAGGAAAATAAATTGAATTCGAGTGAGGTTTGACTGTTGATAGGGCCACAAGCCAAGAGCGAGCAGAAGAAATTTATTTACACTAAAATAGTTAGTCTCGACGTTAGTCATTTCTTTGCGGAGTCTGAGACATATATGACTGTGAAGCAGCCGTCGAAAGTTACGCTCATCCCCTCCTTCTTCCTCATTCGATTATCTATTATCTATTATTTACTTACCTCCTCTGATGTAAATTCTATTAAATTCTATCAAGTTACTTAATTTCGTATAATACAAGGTGGTATAAAATATATTACCTTACTGTTCCCTTAAACTCTAAATATTGCCATTTTTTCAACAGTGTTTTTCGATATAAAGTATAATTATGCAATTATTTTAATGATAAAAAAATTGACCTATTGTCTTTTTCCCGTAAAAAAAAGAGAAGAAGATATTGATAGAATTATGTATATTTACGCGAAAGTCGCGCATGCGTAATCGTCACTTTTTTTTGTAACAGATAAATTTCACCCTTCATTCTATCGCGCGCTTTAGTAACATTCGTATGTTCCTAAAGAGTACTGTTCAGCTTTCAGTGCTATGTATCTATTAATAAGGTGATATTTTTGAAGGCGAATTAATCAGATTTATTTACGGCATTTTCATATCCTAAATTAGTGTGATAAAAGTGTTAATATATTAAATATTATAAATATATCGGTTTTCTCTGTTCAAATTGTCACTGACAATATATCATTTTCCTCAGATGTATTCTTACTTTTATGTGTAAATTTTACATATTAAAATATAGACATTATTATATCACAATTATTAATTTTTATTTATAATAATTAGTATTAAAAATGAATCAACGAAAGAAAAATATAAAACAATTTTAAATTAAAATAGTTTAATTAAACAAATAATGTATGAAATTAATGATAGAAAATTAATTTTATCTTAAATAATTATTATAAACGTATACATTTATTTATTTAATGTTTAAAACATATTTTTAATAATTAAAAAATCTTAAGATTAATTATATATCTTTAAAAATAAGGTATGCTAGATAACTCATTAATATTATTTCAATTATTTAATTTATAACTGTCAAACTGTTAATCTTCGCGATGACTATTGCTCAATGCTATGATATGACTATAATTTTAATTCGGCAAATTTCTGTTATATATGTACATAATTTTAATTCGCCGAATTTCTAATATGTACATAATTTTAATTCATCATTTTTATATTTTGTATTATTTGATAACTATTGTGTATATATATGTATCTCTTTAGACATATTTTTTTTATTTCGTTTAGTATAATCAAATATAATTACGCACGCGAAGCGAAGTTATGCTATTCTCTGATAATAAAACCTTAAAATTGCAACGTATTAATAAAATTATTATTGCAATGCACGCATAGAAATATATATTTATAAATTACGTGATTCATAAAAATTCAATATATAAATTTTTAACAAAAACAAAAAAATTGAATTTTCTACAAGAATCTTACTACTTTAAATAATATAGTAAATAAATAACTTACATATTCATACAAAAGAGACACATATCTATTTATAATTCCTAATCATTCTTATAATTACTTGATCATTCTGTACAAATTTCCATCACATAATTTTAATCAATAAAAATTTCGTTTGATCGTATTTCATGAAATGTAGTTAAATCAGTTTATTCACGTTAAAGGCGGATATTTAATAAAATTACGATAAGTTTAGAAGTATATTTAGAAAAATACGCTGACCGCGCAAGATTTTGCCCTTGTAGAAATTTATCACTAGTAATGCCAATAATTAATCACTAATTATTTCGAGTACTTAAAATACTGAAATACAGTAATTTAAGTACTCAAAATAAGTGATTGAGTACTCGAAATAAGTGATAAATTGGCGTTACTAGTAATAAATTTCTATAAGAGTAAACGATAGTGATGTCGCCATGCGACATCCAACTTCACAGTCAATAATAATGAACCGAACCCGACGAAAGCACTCTCCCTATCCTTTCCATCAGATTGATACATCCCACATGTCCATCACGCTGCGCGGCTCGCGCGAGACTGGTTCTCAAGCGGAATATCGCGAGCGCGGGAACGATGGTCACATGACCAGTGAATCTAGTGGTCACGTGATCTCGGCTTCACGCTCGCGATACCTCGCACGGGAATCAGTTCTGCGTGAGCCGCGCAGCGTGATAGATGTATGCGGTATAGAGTCTCACGCGAATCTAATGAAAGCATAGATATTTGATCACAAAAAATCCTTGTAGAAAATTTTATTTCTTTGTTCGTATTTTCCGTTAAAGATTTAAATATTAAATTTGTATACGTTGCATAATTAATTAATATATTTTTATGCATTAATTGCAATAATAATTTTTGCATGCATGCGTCGCAAATTTTAGACTTTATTATCAAAGGATAATACAACTTCGCTTTGCGTATGTAATTATATTCGATTAAATTAAACAAATGATATTGTATATATATATATATATATATATATATATGCTACATAAAAATTTAGCATTTATAAGCAAATTTGTTAATACAGCAGAAAGTTACATGTGAAAGCAATTGTGTCGACTCATAAATAAACTCAGTTTTGTTATCAAGTTCAATTATGATAGCAAATTATTGTTATAGTATAGTAAACTGCGAAATTTGAGAAATACAATTCAATAATTTTCATTAAAAAATAATGCAAATATAAATGATGCTACAGTATGATATTAAACAGTTATACAAAGTGTATCAGACCCGTGCCAGCCGAATATTTCAAAAACCGAGAACGGCAGACAAAAATGTTTTCTACAAAGATTAACTTTTGTATTTTACCTTCTCAATTTTTGTGCTAAACAACATCTAACTTTATTAACTTAATATTATACAACATAGGTTATTCCCTAATTTTTTCTTTTGCATGAAAAATTATTTCTAAAGTAGACAAACAAAATAATTTTACAAAATAATTTTACGTTTTTATTTTTTTATATAAGAAATATATATAAATATTATTTATGTTCTCTATTATAACTATATACTCCCTTACCGTACTTATTTTTAATTCAAAATATTATCGTCTCATTGTTGAGTAGAATATAAAACTGTAAAATAAGATACTGAAGTCTTTACTAACTGAAAAATGAAAAAATTTTATTTTTATATTTATCATATATACATTATTTTAGTAAATATATAATTTACTATCTCTCTGTACTACCGTAGCAAAAGTCTCTATAGATCCATTAAACAGTCCACCAACGCTTAAAGTAAAATTTTTGTAATTTTTTTGCAACAGAAACAGTATCATTCTCTGTATACATAATGGAGCTAGATACCACTTAACATTATATCTAGAAAATGAATTGTAAACAATCGTTTATTCGATAGATAAAATCTTTAAATGCATTATGCAATAATACTCTATATGTCTTCATACATGTTGTTTAGCAGATACGTTTCTTACACGGTAGTAAATACATGCTCATTGTGATTCGTTATAGTTTGAGCGATATAATTGGCTAAAAACATATACAAGCCAACGACAAACACGAATAAAGAAGGCAAAAAGCATTCCTTAATATTCCCTTCGAATGACATAATCTGAAAAATCTAAGACAAATCTAAAATGTTTCATGATATATTATACATTTAACAAACAAAGAATAATTTTTTCTCAACCACGAAAAAGAGGCTGAACAATTCCTATATATTGTTTTCCGGTAAAAAAAACAGTTTTATATAATCATATAAAACACTATAAAGTTATAAATATATAAAATACTGTATAAATTATGTATAATTGTATAAATATTATATATAATTATACATAATTTATACAGAATTTTATTTTATATGTATATTTTTATAGGAGTCAGTAAATATATTTAACATAAAATTATATGCAATTATATAAAGAGTCACGTAAAATTGTATATAATATTATACATATACATATAGCTAATATAGAATTTTATATATTTTTATTTTGATATAATTATAAATATATTGCTATATAATATGATTATATATATATATATTAATGTAGCATGTTTGAACGTTAAATAATGTTCCATTATATCTATGTAACTTTAAATTTTTCATAATTGTAATATGAATAAAGAAATATAGAGATTAGAATCATATTTAATATTAAAAGAGGACTACAGAAAATAATTACAGGTTTTCTTGTATTTTTTTATTGAATTATATAATCGCGATTATTCGTACGATATATTATGTGACCTTATTAATAACACAAATAAGCTCTCTTTCTTTTTATTTTTAATGTTAAAAATTACTGATTTTCTTCCAACACATAAACTTATAAACTATTGTTATTCAGTGTGAATTACTTATAAATATCAATAACATTAAATTGTGTTTGTCAGAGTAAAAATACGAATGCTGTTTGAAAATTATGTTCTTGGTTAATTAATGATTCTTATAGTTCTTTAATAAAAAGTCTTTTCACATAATAATAAAGCCTAATATAACACAAGAAGTATAAGCAGTCTTATATTCTTATAAAGTGACCGGCAAAAATAAAAAGACTGATTTGCTTCACAAAAGTAAAAAAATATGTTATAGGTTTTTTTATATATAGCTAAAATTGAAAATCTCTTAATTAAATAATTTTTTAATTAAAAAAATGATTTTTTATTTAATATTATATTTATTTGCAAATAATTGTATATTTAAGAATGAAAAAGAGCCAGTTAAGATAACGTAGTATATTTAAAAAAACATTATTTTAATTAATTTATTATAATTAATAATTTTTTATAAATAATATTATATATATAATTATTTATTATAAATATTATTATATAATTAATAAATTTTTTAAATGTTATAAATTCAAATTCTCCCATGCTAATTTGACATTGATATAATTATAATTGAAGAAAATTTGGAAATATCTGTTAAAACTCAAATTAGAAAATAATTTTATTTTGTAAAATAATAACCAGCAAAAAAGTCAAGCTTCTTTCTGTCAAATCAAAAAACTCAAACAACCTCCAGATACGAATCTAATCAAAAATCTGTGGGCAATTCTGGATAATAAAATTAACAAATGCAAAATATTTAATAAAAGATTTTCTATTTTCAAACACTATAAATAATATTAAAGAATATTAAATCATAACATTTGAAAAATTAATTTGAAAGTATACGAGAAGACTTAAAAAAGTAAAAAAGCCTAAAGAAAATCAGATTAACTAAACAAATTAATAAAAATAATATTATTGTTTATCTTTAGATTAAAATGCTATAATCTAACGAATTTTTTGTCACTTTTAAATACATATATACTATTCAAAAATAAATATTATATTCCAACTAAACCTTCTCTTCTATGATGAAGCAATACAAATTATTCCTTTTTAATTAAAACACCTTATTAACTCTTAAATTTTCAATTTTAGTTATAAAAATATATACAACGTATTTTCTTTTACTTTTATAAAGCAAAATCGTTTTTATATGCGATGCCTTTTTATTTACTGTATATCTTATGGAAGTTATCGAGTGTTTTCTCAAGAGTATAGATTGAACAAAACAGAAAACTTACTTGAAACAAATTGATGCTCATCGTTAAAACTCCACATACTAATAAACAAAACAGCATAGACTCAAAACTAGATATCAAACATGTTGATAAACTTTAAAAATAAAAATATGTTACTATATGTATACAGCGTACGCATATTTTTATAGCAAATACGAACTTCATAGCTTGTCGATGCATGTCCACAGCGCAAATTAAACCCTCGTGTATAAAAATGCATTTCATCTCATTAATATTTTGCAGTAAACTAATGTTCATTGCGCGTTCAATACGGTAGCTATAAATAATAATTGTGTTCTAATTATACACAACAATATATTATATCAAATATTTGAACTGCACAGGTAGCAAGCGTACGTCATTTTAACGTCGGGTGACATCATTAAATGGCAAAATGACGTCATTAGAAGTCAAATGACGTCATTTTTACATTTAATGACGTCAGTTTGCTATTTGTATGTTTAACTCTGTCTTGCTTGAGTATTTGTTCAAAAATTATAAGAATCATTAATGGCGTAACTTGCGTTCATATCCATACCTGGCTATTTTAAACAGTCCACAAGTATGTTGCAGATATGTAAGGAGCATCGTTCCTACTGATACCGTTACAATTGTTGCAATAGAAAACGATAGAATGAAATGCAATATTATAAAATAAAAATATTTCTTTTGATCGATAAAATATTCCGTCATGACTAGAAAATTATGTGATCTTGACTCATTTGTCGGCAAAATAATATCTAAAATGTCCGACCAAAATGATGCAAAAATGCAAAGAATTAAGCTGCTAATGCCAAAAACTGAAAATGTGTCAGAAAGAATTATTATTTAATATCTAACATAAGTGTTTAACTTGAATTACATATTATTTCATTCTCATTGCATGTGTTAATTAAAACTTTAATTTTTTTCCGTTAACCAATCTGTGATTAATTTATAATCGATGCAATAATAATAGCTGCTTTTTTAACACTTTATTCGAGTTTTAAAAATATTTGTTGCTCATTATTATTATTATCTATACAAGAAAACCATTGTGCAATTTGTTGAGAAATCGATTTTCTGAGTATCCAAAAGTGAAATTTTCCCGAAAGTAAATTCGCAATTTTTAAAAAGAAATAATTATATTGACAAAACTAAAACAATTATCTTACCTAAAAGTGATATAGTAGAACGTATAGCATAACATCCATATTCGTTTATAATAGCAATTTCGTTTCCGTCTTTTAATTCATTATATATATCCAATAATTGCTCCAATAAATCCTTCACCTATTTTAATAATTTTGTATCATTTCTTATACATAATCATGTCAGAAAAAAAATGGCATAATACGTTATTCAATAAGTTCATCTTATCTCATAAATAAGCTATCAATTTATGAAATTAGCAATTGTATATACATATATATAAAAGTATTCAAATCTTTAAGTTATTAACTTACAGCTTTGATATTAACAAAGAACATGTCATATTTTATCACAAAAAGCGCAAACAAAATTCCGGAGGATAAAACTTTGGTAATGAGATCCGGAGTACATCTTTGTGAGAAAAATACTGTAAACTGCAAATAATAATTTTATTTAATTTGCATTGAAAAATTATTGTTTTAATGCAACGCGCGCATCCATACACACATATTAACACACATAAATTGTGTATTTTATATTATTTCTGTAATTTAAAAAATTTATTGTTATTTGTGATGAAACCTTGTTTATAATAAAAATATTTAAAAAGAAAAATGCTTTCTTAAGAATAAATTAAAATATAATAAAATAAAATAATTACAATATATATGTATATGTAAATATATTTGCTAACATATTTATCTATACATGTGTGTATATATATTATGTACAAAAATATAGTTCTATTTATTTTCTAGGAAAAGTCTATTATTATTAATTTAACTTTTAATATGATCTTAACAAAACGTTGAACTGATAATCCAGGTAGATTAATTTTGTGTCTTAAATAAGCAGTTTATATATTTTAGAAACTTAAATGTATGCAATTCTAGATTCTATTGTTTCTAATATATGTATATAAAAATCAAAATGATTCACGATGTGTAATCTTCTTGCAATGTTTACATAAAAACCATATACATAAATTATAAGAACAAAGTTATATGATTATATACAATTATGATATAGTTGACATTAATATTTGATCCTAATCTAAATTGTGATATATAAATTTTATGGAAAAATTGCTTCCAGTAATTCATATTATACGATATTATTATTATTATATAGTAATTTGTTAAAAACTTACTTGAAATATAACGTGTGTCGTCAAAATAGTTGACAGGAAAATAAATTGAAATCGAGTGAGATTTGACTGTTGATAGGGCCACAAGCCAAGAGTGCGCAGAAGAAGTTTATTTATACTAAAATAGTTAGTTTCGACGTTGATCATTTCTTCGCGAAGTCTGAGACATGAATGACTGTGAAGCAGCCGACGAGAGGGGATTCATCCCCACCTCCGTTACCATTCGATTATCTATTATCTATTATTTACTTACCACCTCTGGTGTAAACTCTAGCACAAATTACTTAATTTCGTATAATACAAGGTGGTATGAGATATCTTGCCTTACTGTTACCTTAAAGTCAGAATATTTGCATTTTTCCAACAGTGTTTTTCGAAATAAAGTATTATTATGCAATCAATTTAATAACAGAAGAAATTTACTTAATGTTTTTTCTCATAAAATAAGAGGAAAAAATATTGATAGCATGATGTATATTTACGCGCAAGTCGCGCATGCGTAATCGTCACCTTTTTTTAACAGAAATTTCACAGCCTTTATTTCATCGCGCGCTTTCATAACATTTATGTTTCTTATTGAGAACAATATTCAGCTTTTAGTGTTACGGTATGTATAATATAGGTGTATAGTATGTATCGTAATTTTAGCATACGGCATTCAAAAGATTATATTTTTTAGCAAATGTTGCACTCTTGTAAAAATTTTTAAATTGTAATTTTTTCTCGTCAGAGGTAGTGGTCCGCGGTTGACGTAAAATTACTCATATGTGAACCAAAATTTCCCGTTAGATTAAAATTATATTTGATCTTATATATATATAGAGAAAAAAAAGTTATATATATAGTTTTATATTATTACACAATTCATTTAATAACAGAAGAAAATGTCTTTTTCCGATATAAAAAAAGAAGTAAAAATAACAAAATATCAAGAGACACGGTAGTGTCTGGTGCTAAGTCCAAGAAAGAAAAAAAAGGCACGCCATGTCTCTTTACGCGAGTCGAATAGTTGAGAGTATTCGAATATTTTCAGTTCACATATAACCGCTGAATGGATTGAGTTATTTCTAGGCTCAATCGATAGCTTGAGTATGAATTATGTAATGAAAGTGTCTTTATTTTTGCCCTACGTGCTCTCTAAACGAAGCTATTACGATACAAAGTTGAAATGTCAAAATTTTTCATTAAGAAACGTCGCGGCCCACGTATGCGACGTACTCTTCATATAACTGACGCAAGAAGGCGCTAACGTTTTGTGATGTATTAATTTATTGATTACCTGGTTTTGATAATTCATTATCTAGTTTTGACAGGTATAGGTTAATATAAAAAATTTGTTTGAAAGAAATAAAATTAGAGACGTAGTATACAATTATTATTTTGCTTCGGCTTGATGCAAGCAAATGAATCTGTGTGGAATCAGTTTCTGCAGAGAAAAAATAAGACATCAACAAGTCATGTCAATTTTTTTGGTTGTTCGATTATGTTTGAGAATCTGCTAAATGTAGATGTGATTGATATCATTATTATAAAATATGAAAAGATTGCTCCAGAGTAAGTAATTTTTGCTTTGATGTAATTAATATTTTTTAAATGCATGCTTTATTTTCTCCTCTTTCTGAGATTTTGTTGCATGATATAATTATACTCATGCCAAATATTTACGTATATGAATAACTTTTTTATTTCAATTTATGTAGATAGATATTAAAAATTAGAAATTAAAAAAAATAAATGTATAGTACAAAAAGAAGTGATATCCTTAAAAAAATTACCTTTTTAAAAAAAGATAAAAAAGGTGCTAAGTCCGCGAACGTTCCTGTAAAAACCTATCCTACAAAAATTACTAATATAAAAAAATTATGCTAAGTAAAATTAAAAACTTTAAAATATAATTTTATTTAATTAACCAAAAAAGTTATATAAAATAATTTTTTAATTTCTTACATCCTACAAAAAATAATATTAAAAATTGGCAATAATTAAAAAATTAAAATTAAAAATTAAAAAAAAATTATATAGCAATTAAAAATAATAAAAAATTTTTTAAATAATTTTCTTTTTAATTAAAAAATTAAAAAACTTAGCACTGCTAAACTTTAATTGAAAGACATTCAAGCGAAGAAATACATTAATTTTAACATATTGTTTGTTTAATTACGCAGTAATTTGCAAATGTTTAATATTATTTTTTGTAGGATGTAGGAAATTAAAAAATTATTTTATATAACTTATTTGGTTAATTAAATAAAATTAAATTATTTTAAAATGTTTTTATTTTTACTTAGCATAATTTTTTTATATTATTAATTTTTGTAGGATAGGTTTTTACAGAGACGTTACGCGGACTTAGCATCTTTTTTTTTACCTTTTTTTAAAAAAGTAATTTTTTTAGGGATATATATTTACGCGAAAGTCGCGTATACATAATCATCACTTTTTTACCAAATTTTACACCCTTTATTTTATCGCGCGCTTTCGTGTATATACGTACATGTTCTTAAAGAATAAGTCAACAATCAGTACTTTAATATTTGTGATTAAGGTGATGTTATTTTTGAAGACAAATTAATCAGATTTATTTACAGCATTTTCAAGTCCTAAATTGACGTGATAAAATTTTAATATTTTAGGAGCTATATATGTATATCGATTTCTTTCTTTTCGCTTACAATATCAAATTATTCAGATAAACTCTTACTTCTCTCTTTAAATTGTCAAATTTCATACATATTAAAATAGACATTATTAGTATACTAATATTATAAAAAAGTCTGAGAAAATACAAATGTACAGATGAAATTGAAAGTATATAGTGTAAAGTAACTGAGTAATTATTATACTTTATATATATATTATGTGCAGCATACAATTTCAACAAATTAAAAATATGTAACGCATAATAGTACCTTGAAATAACTTTGTTTCTTTCTATTATATTTTCTTTTCCATGAGAAATCATTTCTAAACTAGACGAATAAAATAATTTTAGAAAGTAATGTTTTTATTTTCTTCATATATAAGAAATACTTTATAAATATTATTTATATTCTTCATTATGATTATATATTCTCTTACCGTAATTATATTCAATTCAAAAGATTATCGTCTCATCCTTGAGTAGAATATATGACTGTAAAATAAGATACTGAAGTCTTTACTAGCTGAAATATGAAAGACACATTTTATTTTTATACTAATCATAATATTTAATATTCTTATAAATATATATTTTATTACTGTCTTCTCTCTACTACCGTAGCAAAAGTTTCTATAGATCCAATAAACAGTCCACCAACGTTCAAAATAAAAATTTTAGAATTTCTTTGCAAAAGAAACAGTATCATTTTCTGTATACATAATGGAGCTATATACCATTTAACGTTATATCTAGAAAATGAATTATAAATGATTAATATCTATAAATAAAATCTTTAAATACATTATAAAACAGTTCCTTATGCGTCATAAGTTTCTTACGCAGTAATAAATATATGTTCATTATGATTCATTACTGTTTGAGCGATATAATTGGATACAAACATATACAGGACACTGCCAAAAGCGACTATAGAAGCCATTAGACATTCCATGATATCTCCTTCAATTGATAGAATCTGAAAAATCTAAGACAAATCTTAGAATGTTTCACAATACATATACATTTACAATTTTTTTTCAACCTCACGAAAGAAGATGAATAATTCCTATACCTATATTGTTTCCCGGTAAAATATTTATATATAATCGCACATAAAACTACCATATAAATTAATTTGAAATATATAAAATTTTGTATAAATTATGTATAATTACATATATTATCTTATACGACTTATTATATATAATTATTAATAATTTTATAAAGAGGAATCAATAAACATTAACATAAAATTATACATGTATAATTATAAATCATATATAAAAATTTGTATAATTATATAATACAAAATATAGAATAAAATCTAAAATTATATAATATTTTAAATTATAGAATAAAAAATTTTAAAAATGCAAATAAACTCTCCCTTTTTATTTTTGTTTCTAAAAATTGTTGATTTTATTCGAACACGTAGACCATTATTATCGTGTAAGTAAATAAATATCTAGACATTACATTCTTTGTTAGAATAGAAATACGAAAGCTGTTTGAAAATTATGTCAGCGGTTAATTAATGATTTTATCATTCTTTAATAAAAAGTTTGTCACATAATAATAAAATCAAATATAACACAGTAGAAGTATATTAGTCTTATAATTTTATATATCGAGTGTTTCCTCACGAGTAGATTTAGTAAAACATAAAACTTACTTGAAACAAGGTGATGCTCATCATTAAAACTCCAAATATTATTAACAGAACAACATTGTCTCAATACAAGATAGCATGTCTAAGCATAAGCTTTAAAAATAAAAATTTGTTACTGTGTATATATAGCGTACGTATATTATAATAGCACATATACGAACTTCATGGCTTGCCGATGAATATTCACAGCGCAAATTAAACCCTCGTGTATAAAAATGTATTTCATCTCATTAATGTTTTGCAATATGTTAATATTCATTGCGCGTTTGATACGGTAGCTATAAATAATATTTAAGTTATAATTATACACAACAATATATTATATAAAATATTTTTTCAGCTAATAAATTTGAACTGTCCAGATAGCAAACGTACAGGTTTGTACGTTTTGACATTAAATGTCAAAATCACGTTATTAGAAGTCAAATACATCATTTTGACGTCAAATGACGTCATTATACGTCAAAATGCTGTCATTTTGACATTTAATGATATTATTTTGACATATAAGGACGTCAGTTAGCTATTTGCGTATTGAAATGTCTCAGGTAGCAAACGTACGTCATTTTGACCTTGAATGACGTCATTAAACTAACATTATAACATTTAATAATATTAGTTTCTCATGTAGAACATAAAACTCATTATGACATTATAATAACGCCACTTAAAATTTATTTTGAAAATAAGTTTTTACATATTACAATTATTTATTTATTTTAATGATCACACATATTCCAATAACAATAATATTCAAGTAATATTATTTTTTTTAAAATTATATATAAATGATTATCTTATTGTAAATGTAGAAAATTTGTTAAAGTGTAATATTTGGTCTATGTATATCTATATGCTTATATCTGTGAACAACATTCACATAAGCGAAGAAATTTCAATAATCTGTTTGTAACGACTTCTCCACTCCGCATGTCTCGCTCTCATTAGATCATATATTCGCGGACGGCGTTGTGCGCCGCTAGAGTAATAGAACCGCGGAATTCGAAAGTCGTTACGAACAGATTATTGAAATTTCTTCGCTTATGTGAATGTTGTTCACAGATATAGGCACGTAGATATACATAGACCGAATATTCCGATTTAACCAATTTTCTACATTACACTTATATTACGGAACTTTTCTTAAATTTATCATTCCTTTTGTCATATTTAAATCATTTTTGAATTGTTTTTATTCAAATAACTTTCAAGTGATGAATAAAATTATGATAACGTCATTATGACGTAATTTTGAGTATTATGTTTTACCTGGGTTATGCTATTTGTGTGTTGAGCTGTTTTGTCTGAGTATTTGTTTAGAAATTATATAAGAATCTTTATGGCATAATTTGCATTTATATCCATACCTGGCTATTTTCAACATTCCACAAATATATTGAAAATATGTAATGAGCATCGCTGATATCGCTATTACTACAGCCATTCCAATAACAATCGATAAGATATAATGCACTAGTATAATATAAAAATATTTTTGTTGATCGATAAAATATTCCGTCATAATTAGAAAATTATGCGATCTTGACACATTTGTCGGTAAAATAATATCTAAAATTTCCGACCAAAGTGACGCAAAAGTGCAAAGAAATATGCTGCTAATGCCAATTACTGAAAAAAAGTGTCAAAAAGAATTATTATTTAATTATCTAACATATAATTTAAGTGTCTAAATTGAATTACATATTATCTCATTCTCATTGCATGTGTTAATTGACACTTTAATTTTCTTTTATTAACTAATTTGTGATTAATTTATAATCGATGCAATTATAATAGCTATTTTTTTTAACATTTTATTCGAGTTTTAAAAATATTTGTTGCTGATTTTATCTACACAGGAAAACTATTGTGCACTTTGTTGAGAAATCAATTTTCTGACTTTCTGAAAGTGAAATTTTCCCGAAAGTGAATTTGCGTTTTAAGAAAAAAATATAATCATATACTAACAAAGCTAAAACGATTATTTTACCTATAAGTAATTTAGTATAACGTATACCATTACATCCATATTCGTTTATAATAGCAAGTTCGTTTTCATCTTTTAATTCATTACATATATGCACTAATTGTTCCAATAAATCCTTCACCTATTTCAATAATTTTATATCATTTCTTATACATAATTATGTCAGGAAACAAATGGCATAATACATTATTGTACATAATACATAATACATTATTCAATATATATATATATATATATATATATATACATATATATGTATATATATATAACTATTCAAATCTTTAAGCTATTAACTTACAGCTTTGATATTAACAAAGAACATGTCGTATTTTACCACAAAAGCGCAAACAAAATTCCGGAGGATAAAACTTTGGTAATGAGATCCGGAGTACATCTTTGTGAGAAAAATACTGTAAACTGCAAATAATAATTTTATTTAATTTGCATTGAAAAATTATTGTTTTAATGCAACGCGCGAATCCATACACACATATTAACACACATAAATTGTATATTTTATATTATTTCTGTAATTAAAAAAATTTATTGTTATTTGTGATAAAACCTTGTTTATAATAAAAATATTAAATATAAAAATGCTTTCTTAAGAATAAATTAAGATATAATAAAATAAAATAATTACAATATATATGTATCTGTAAATATATTTATTAACATATTTATCTATACATGTGTGTATATATATTATGTACAAAAATATATAGTTCTATTTATTTTCTACAAAAAGTCTATTATTATTAATTTAATTTTTAATATGATCTTAACAATATGTTGAACTACTAATTCAGATAGATTAATTTTGTGTCTTAAATAAGTAGTTTATATATTTCAGAAACTAAAGTGTACGTAATTCTAGATTCTAATGTTTCTAATATACGTATATAAAAATCAAAATAATTCACGAGATGTAACCTTCTTGCAATTTTTACCATATATACATAAATTATAAAAACAAAGTTATATGATTATATACAATTATGATATAGTTGACATTAATATTTGATCCTAATCTAAATTGTGATATATAAATTTTATGGAAAAAATTGCTTCCAGTAATTCATATTGTACGATATTATTATTATTATATAGTAATTTGTTAAAAACTTACTTGAAATATAACGTGTGTCGTCAAAATAGTTGACAGAAAAATAAATTGAAATCGAGTGAGATTTGACTGTTGATAGGGCCACAAGCCAAGAGTGCGCAGAAGAAGTTTATTTATACTAAAATAGTTAGTTTCGACGTTGATCATTTCTTCGCGAAGTCTGAGACATGAATGACTGTGAAGCAGCCGACGAGAGGGGATTCATCCCCACCTCCGTCACCATTCGATTATCTATTATCTATTATTTACTTACCACCTCTGGTGTAAACTCTAGCACAAATTACTTAATTTCGTATAATACAAGGTGGTATAAGATATTTTGCTTTACTGTTACCTTAGAGTCAGGATATTCGCATTTTTCCAACAGTGTTCTTCGAAATAAAGTATTATTACGCAATTAATTTAATAACAGAAGAAATTTACTTAATGTTTTTTCCCATAAACAAAGGAGGAAAAAATATTGATAGAATTATGTATATTTACGCGCGAGTCGCGCATGCGTAATCGTCACTTTTTTGTAACAAAAACTTCACACCCTTCATTTCATCGCGCGCTTTCCTAACATTCGTATGTTTCTTATTAAGAGCAATATTCAGCTTTCAGTGTTACCGTATGTATAATATAGATGTATAGTATGTATCGTAATTTTTAGCACACGGTATTCAAAAGATCATATTTTTTAGTAAATTTTACACCCTTATAATAATTTTTAAATTATAATTTGTTCTCGTCTCTGAGAAATAGTGGTCCGCGATTGACGTGAAATGACTCATATGCAAACCAAAATTTTTCCGTTAGATTAAAATTATATTTGGTCTTATATATATTTGCTTACCACCTCTGATGTAAATTCTAATATCAAATTACTTAATTTCATATAATACAAGGTGGTATAAGATATCTTACTTTAATGTTCCCTTAAAGTCAAAATATTTGCATCTTTTAACAGTGTGTTTTCGAAATAAAATATGCAATCAATTTAATAACAGAAGAAAATGACTTAATGTCTTCTTCCGATATAAAAAAGAAGGTGAAAATATATATATTTACGCAAAAGTCGCGTATGCATAATCATCACCTTTTTGCTTTTAATAAATACACCCTTTATTTTATCGCGCGCTTTCATGATATACGTACATGTTCTTAAAGAATAATTCAGTTATCAGTACCTTCATATTTGTGATTAAGGTGATGTTATTTTTGAAGACGAATTAATCAATTTATTTATAGCATTTTCAGTCCTAAATTGACGTGATTAAAATTTTAATATTTTAGGAGCTATATATATCGATTTCTTTCTTTTCACTTACAATATCAAATTATTCAGATAAACTCTTATTTCTCTCTTTAAATTTTCAAATTTTATACATATTAAAATAGACATAATACTAATATTATAAGAAAAAAATCTAAAAATACAAATGTACAGATAATGTCAAAATTGAAAGTATAGTATAAGTAATTGAGTAATTAATATACTTTATTATATTATATATATATATATACATATATATATATATATATATGTGTATATATATTTAATTCAAAAGATTATTGTCTCATTTTTGAGTAGAATATATGACTGTAAAATACGATACTGAAGTCTTTACTAGCTGAAATATGAAAGACACATTTTATTTTTATACTAATAACATTTAATATTCTTATAAATATATATTTTATTATTGTCTTCTTTCTATTACCGTAGCAAAAGTCTCTATAGATCCATTAAACAGTCCACCAACGTTCAAATTAAAATTTTTAGAACTTCTTTGCAACAGAAACAGCGTCATTTTCTGTATACATAATGGAGCTATATACCATTTAACGTTATATCTAGAAAATGAATTATAAATGATTAATATCTATAAATAAAATTTTTAAATACATTATAAAACAGTTTCTTATGCGTCATACGTTTCTTACGCGGTAATAAATATATGTTCATTATGATTCATTATTGTTTGAGCGATATAATTGGATACAAACATATACGCGACACTGAACAAAGCGACTATAAAAGGCACTAGACATTCCTTGATATCTCCTTCAATTGATAGAATCTGAAAAATCTAAAACAAATCTTAGAATGTTTTACAATACATATACATTTACAATTTTTTTTCAACCTCACGAAAGGAGATGAATAATTCCTATACCTATATTGTTTCCCGGTAAAATATTTATATATAATCGCACATAAAACTACAATATAAAATTATATAGAAATATATAAAATTCTGTATAAGTTATGTATAATTACATATTATCTTATACGACTTATTATATATAATTATTAACAACTTGTATATTAGGAAAATTAATATAAACATTAACATAAAATTATATATGTATAATTATAAATCATATATAAAATTTCATATAATTATATAATACAAAATATAGAATAAAATATAAAATTATATAATATTTTAAATTATAGAATAAAAAATTTTAAAAATGCAAATAAACTCTCCCTTTTTATTTTTGCTTCTAAAAATTGTTGATTTTATTCGGACACGTAGATCATTTTTATCATGTAAGTAAATAAATATCTAGACATTACATTCTTTGTTAGAATAGAAATACAAAGACTGTTTGAAAATTATGTGTCAGCGGTTACCATAATTAATGATTTTGTCATTCTTTAATAAAAAGTTTTGTCACATAATAATAAAATCAAATATAACACAGTACAAGTATATTAGTCTTATAATTTTATATATCGAGTGTTTCCTCACGAGTAGATTTAGTAAAACATAAAACTTACTTGAAACAAGGTGATGCTCATCATTAAAACTCCAAATATTATTAAACAGAACAACATTGTCTCAATACAAGATAGCATGTCTAAGCATAAGCTTTAAAAATAAAAATTTGTTACTGTGTATATATAGCGTACGTATATTATAAAAGCACATATACGAACTTCATGGCTTGCCGATGAATATTTACAGCGCAAATTAAACCCTCGTGTATAAAAATGTATTTCATCTCATTAATATTTTGCAATATATTAATGTTCATTGCACGTTCGATACGGTAGCTATAAATAATATTTAAGTTATAAATTTGAACTGTCTAGATAGCAAACGTTTAGACGTACATTTAGACATTTTGACATTAAATGTCAAAATGACGTCATTAGAAGTCAAATACGTCATTTTGACGTCAAATAACGTCATTATACGTCAAAATGCTGTCATTATGACTTTGATATTATTTTGACATATAAGGACGTCAGTTTGCTATTTGCGTGTTAAAATGTCTCAGATAGCAAACGTATGTCATTTTGACGTCAAATGACGTCATTAAACTGACATTATGACATTTAATGATGTCAGTTTCCCATGTAGAACATAAAACTCATTATGACATTATGATAATGCCACTTAAAATTTATTTTGAAAGAAAGTTTTTACATATTACAATTATTTATTTATTTTAATGATCACACATATTCTAATAACAATAATATTCCAGCAACATAGATTTTTTAAAATTACATGTAAATAATTATATTATCTTACGAAGCTTTTTTTAAATGTATGATTCCTTTTATCATATTTAAATCATTTTTGAATTGTTTTTGTTCAGATAACTTTCAAGTGATAAATAAAATTATAATGACGTCATTATGACGTAATTTTGAGTATTATGTTTTACCTGGATTATGCTATTTGTGTGTTGAGCTGTTTTGTCTGAGTATTCGTTTAGAAATTATATAAGAATTTTTATGACATAATTTGCATTTATATCCATACCTGGCTATTTTCAACATTCCACAAATATGTTGAAAATATGTAATGAGCATTGCTGATATCGCTATTATTACAGCTATTCCAATAGCAATCGATAAAATAAAATGCACTAGTATAATATAAAAATATTTTTGTTGATCGATAAAATATTCCGTCATAATTAGAAAATTATGCGATCTTGACACATTTGTTGGTAAAATAATATCTAAAATTTCCGACCAAAGTGACGCAAAAGTGCAAAGAAATATGCTGCTAATGCCAATTACTGAAAAGGTGTTAGAAAGAATTATTATTTAATTATCTAACATATAATTTGAGTGTTTAAATTGAATTACATATTATCCCATTCTCATTGCAGTGTTAATGGAGACTTTAATTTTCTTTCGTTAACCAATCTGTGATTAATTTATAATTAATGCAATTATAATAGATGTTATAATAGATAGATAGATAAATATAATAGATGTTTCTTTTTAACATTTTATTCGAGTTTTAAAAATATTTGTTGCTAATTATTATCTACACAGGAAAACTCGTGCAATTTGTTCAGAAATCGATTTTCTGAGTTTCTGAAAGTGAAACTCTCCCAAAAGTGAATTCGCGTTTTAAGAAGAAAATATAATTATATACTAACAAAGCTAAAACAATTATTTTACCTATAAGTAACTTAGTATAACGTATACTATCACATCCATATTCGTTTATAATAGCAAATTCGTTTTCATCTTTTAATTTATTACACATATCCACTAATTGTTCCAATAAATCCTTCACCTATTTCAATAATTTGATATCATTTCTCATACATAATAATGTCAGGAAACGAATGATATGATAAAAGTTATTCATCAAGTTTATTCCATTTCACAAGTAAGCTATCAATTTATGAAATTATCAACTGTATAAGAATTCAACTCTTTAGCTATTAACTTACAGTTTTTACATTGACAAAGAACATGTTGTATTTTATTACAAGAATTGTGCACGCAAGTCCGGGGGATAAAACTTTGGTAATGAGAAGCGGAGTACATCTTTGTGAAATAAATACTGCAAACTGCAAATAATAATTTTCTTTAGTTTGCATTGAAAAGTTATTATTTTAATGTCACGCGTGCATATGGACATATATAAACTGTATATTTTATATTATTTTTCTAATTTAAAAAAATGGTAATTATTTGTAATATAATTTTATTTATAATATAAACATTTAATGAATCAAAATACAAATGTATAAAACGCACGTACTGTATGTTTTGATATTCTGTAAGTGTGTGCATGTAAACGATAAATATTAAAGGACTTATATATTATCGATTATTTTAATTTTTACATTGAAAAACGCAATAGCATCTCGCTGAAATATTTTTTAATAAAAAGCAAAGAGATTTTATCATTTTCTGAAATAACGCTTTTTGATGAATAAATTAAAATAAAATAATTTAAATATATATATATTTAAATATTAACATGTTTATCTATGTGTATAAATATTATATACGAAAATGTTTTTAACATATTCCTATCAAAAATTAATTTCTATTAATTTAACTTTTGATATAATGTTAACGAAATGTTAATCTAATTATTCGGTAATTGTCTTAAATAAGCAAATATATTTCAAAAACCTAGGTGTAATACATAATTCTGGATTCCATTGTTTCTAATATATGTAAAAATCAAAATTCATAAGAACCTTATAAATAATTCATAAGATATAATCTTAATTATCGCAATATTTATGATATACACAATTAATAAAAACAAAGTTATGATTATATGTAATTATACAGGGTTGGGTAAATTAATGATTTTTTAAAACTAAAAGTTCAGTTAAAGTTATAGTTACTTATCAAATTAATTTAATTAAGTTAAAAGTTGCAAGGACAAAAAATTAACTTAGTTAAAGTTAAGTTAAGATTAAATTAACTAAAGTTACATTAAAAATTAATTTTTAAAAACATTTATATTGAACTAAAATTTTATTTGTTAATTCTTTTAAAATTTAGAATAACAAGTAACAAAGAAATTTTGATTTTTATATAAAAATAAATGTCTTGGTAATTACAATTGATGACAAATATAAAAATTAATAATACTTTAATTTAAAAATAATACGTTTATATATAACTTATAAAAAATCAATAATGGTATTCAGAGATAAAAAAAATTTAACTTAAAAAAATGTTCATAAAAAATAAGTTAAAATTAAAAATTAATGTATTCTCAATTAACTAAACTAAGTTAAAAGTGATTAACTTTTTTTAACTTTTAATTAATTAACTGATTATTACCCAACTCTGCAATTATGATATAGTTGACATTTATTATTTGATGCTAATCCACAAATTGACATTAATAAATTTTATGGAAAAAATTGTTTGTCGTAATTCATATTAAATATATACACGATATTATTGTTATTATATATAGTAGTTATTAAAACTTACTTGAAATATCACTTGTGTCGTCAAAATAGTAGACAAGAAAATAAATTGAAATCGAGTGAAGTTCGACTGTTGATAAGGCCACAAGCCAACAGCGAGCAGAAGAGTTTTACTTACACTAAAATACTTAGTCTGGACGTTGAACATTTCTTCACAAATTCTGAGACATGAATGACTGAAGAGCAGCCGACGAGGAGCGGCTCATCCCCTCTTTCTTCCCCATTTGAATATCTATTATCTATTATTTACTTACCACCTCTGGTGTAAATTCTAGCACAAATTACTTAATTTCGTATAATACAAGGTGGTATATAATATTTTGCCTTACTGCTACCTTAGAGTCAGGATATTCGCATTTTTCCAACAGTGTTTTTCGAAATAGAGTATTATTACGCAATCAATTTAATAACAGAAGAAATTTACTTAATGTTTTTTTCCATAAAAAAGGAGGAAAAAATATTGATAGAATTATGTATATTTACGCGCGAGTCGCGCATGCGTAATCGTCACTTTTTTGTAACAGAAATTTCACACCCTTCATTTCATCGCGCGCTTTCCTAACATTCGTATGTTTCTTATTGAGAGCAATATTCAGCTTTCAGTATTACGGTATGTATAATATAGGTGTATAGTATGTATCGTAATTTTTAGCACACGGCATTCAAAAGATTATATTTTTTAGTAAATTGTACACCCTTGTAAAAATTTTTAAATTGTAATTTGTTCTCGTCTGACAATGAGAGGTAGTGGTCCGCGGTTGACGTGAAATGACTCATATGCAAACAAAAATTTTTCCGTTAAATTAAAATTATATTTGGTCTTATATATATTTACTTACCACCTCTGATGTAAATTCTAATATCAAATTACTTAATTTCATATAATACAAGGTGGTATAAGATATCTTACTTTATAATGTTCCCTTAAAGTCAAAATATTCGCATTTTTTTAACAGTGTGTTTTCGAAATAAAATATGCGATCAATTTAATAACAGAAGAAAATGACTTAATGTCTGCTTCCAATATAAAAAAGAAGGTGAAAATATATATATTTACGCAAAAGTCGCGTATGCATAATCATCACCTTTTTGCGAAATACATTCTTTATTTTATCGCGCGCTTTCATGATATACGTACATGTTCTTAAAGAATAATTCAGTTATTAGTACCTTCATATTTGTGATTAAGGCGATGTTATTTTTAAAGACGAATTAATCAGATTTATTTACAGCATTTTCAAGTCCTAAATAGACGTGATTAAAATTTTAATATTTTAGGAACTATTATATCCATTTCTTTCTTTTCGCTTAGAATATCAAATTATTCAGATAAACTCTTATTTCTCTCTTTAAATTTTCAAATTTTATACATATTAAAATAGACATTATACTAATATTATAAGAAAAAATCTAAAAATACAAATGTACAGATGATGTCGAAATTGAAAGTATAGTATAAATAATTGAGTAATTAATATACTTTATTATACTATATATATAATATATGTATATATATATATATATATATATATATTAAATGCGCAAGATTACCGTCTCATCCTTGAGTAGAATATATGACTGTAAAATAAGATACTGAAGTCTTTACTAGCTGAAATATGAAAGACACATTTTATTTTTATACTAATCATAATATTTAATATTCTTATAAATATATATTTTATTACTGTCTTTTCTCTACTACCGTAGCAAAAGTTTCTATAGATCCATTAAACAGTCCACCAACGTTCAAAATAAAAATTTTAGAATTTCTTTGCAAAAGAAACAGTATCATTTTCTGTATACATAATGGAGCTATATACCATTCAACGTTATATCTAGAAAATGAATTGTAAACAATTAATATCTATAGATAAAATCTTTAAATACATTACAAAACAGTTTCTTATACGTCATATGTTTCTTACGCTGTAGTAAATATATGTTCATTATGATTCATTATTGTTTGAGCGATATAATTGGATACAAACATATACACGACACTGATAAAAACGATTATAAAAGGCACTAAGCATTCCGTGATATCTTCTTCGATTGATAGAATCTGAAAAATCTAAGACAAATCTCTTTTAAAATGTTTCACAAAACATATACATTTACCAAAAAGACGAATAATTTTTTTTCAACCACACGAAAGAAAATGAATAATTCCTATACTTATATTGTTTCCAATAAAAAAAATTTATATATAATTGCAAAACTACAATATAAAATTATATAAAATTCTGTATAAGTTATGTATAATTACATATTATTTTATACGACTTATTATATATAATTATTAATAACTTGTATATTAGGAAAATTAATATAAACATTAACATAAAATTATATATGTATAATTATAAGTCATATATAAAATTTTATATAATTATATAATACAAAATATAGAATAAAATAATTATATAATATTTTAAATTATAGAATAAAAAAATTTTTAAATGCAAATAAACTCTCCCTTTTTATTTTTGCTTTTAAAAGTTGTTGATTTTATTCGAACACGTAGACCATTATTATCATGTAAGTAAATAAATATCTAGACATTACATTCTTTGTTAGAATAGAAATACAAAGACTGTTTGAAAATTATGTCAGCGGTTACCATAATTAATGATTTTATCATTCTTTAATAAAAAGTTTTGTCACATAATAATAAAATCAAATATAACACAGTACAAGTATATTAGTCTTATAATTTTATATATCGAGTGTTTCCTCACGAGTAGATTTAGCAAAACATAAATCTTACTTGAAACAAATTGATGCTCATCATTAAAACTCCAAATATTATTAAACAGAACAACATTGTCTCAATACAAGATAGCATGTCTAAGCATAAGCTTTAAAAATAAAAATGTGTTACTGTGTATATATAGCATACGTATATTATAATAGCACATATACGAACTTCATGGCTTGCCGATGAATATTTACAGCGCAAATTAAACCCTCGTGTATAAAAATGTATTTCATCTCATTAATATTTTGCAATATATTAATGTTCATTGCACGTTCGATACGATAGCTATAAATAATATTTAAGTTATAAATTTGAACTGTCCAGATAGCAAACGTTTAGACGTACATTTAGACATTTTGACGTTAAATGTCAAAATGACGTCATTAGAAGTCAAATACGTCATTTTGACGTCAAATAATGTCATTATACGTCAAAATGCTGTCATTTTGACTATTAATGATATTATTTTGACATATAAGGACGTCTGTTTGCTATTTGCGTGTTGAAATGTGTCAGATAGCAAACGTATGTCATTTTGACGTCAAATGACGTCATTAAACTGACATTATGACATTTAATGATGTCAGTTTCCCATGTAGAACATAAAACTCATTATGACATTATGATAACGCCACTTAAAATTTATTTTGAAAATAAGTTTTTACATATTACAATTATTTATTTATTTTAATGATCACACATATTCTAATAACAATAATATTCCAGCAACATAATTTTTTTAAAAATTACATGTAAATGATTATATTATCTTACGAAGCTTTTTTTAAATGTATGATTCCTTTTATCATATTTAAATCATTTTTGAATTGTTTTTGTCCAGATAACTTTCAAGTGATGAATAAAATTATGATGACGTCATTATGACGTAATTTTAAATATTATGTTTTACATGGGTTATGCTATTTGTGTGTTGAGCTGTTTTGTCTGAGTATTCGTTTAGAAATTATATAAGAATCTTTATGGCATAAATTGTATTTATATCCATGCCTGGCTATTTTCAACATTCCACAAACATGTTGAAAATATGTAATGAGCATCGCTGATATCGATATTGTTACAGCCGTTCCAATAGCAGTCGATAAGATTAAATGCACTAATATAAAATAAAAATATTTTTGTTGATCGATAAAATATTCCGTCATAATTAGAAAATTATGCGATCTTGACACATTTGTCGGTAAAATAATATCTAAAATTTCCGACCAAAGTGACGCAAAAGTGCAAAGAAATATGCCGCTAATGCCAGTTACTGAAAAAAAGTGTCAAAAAGAATTATTATTTAATTATCTTACATATAATTTAAGTGTTTAAATTGAATTACATATTATCTCATTCTCATTGCATGTGTTAATTGACACTTTAATTTTCTTTCATTAACTAATCTGTGATTAATTTATAATCGATGCAATTATAATAGCTATTTTTTTTAACATATTATTCGAGTTTTAAAAATATTTGTTGCTGATTTTATCTACACAGGAAAACTATTGTGCACTTTGTTGAGAAATCAATTTTCTGACTTTCTGAAAGTGAAATTTTCCCGAAAGTGAATTCGCGTTTTAAGAAGAAAATATAATCATATACTAACAAAGTTAAAACGATTATTTTACCTATAAGTAACTTAGTATAACGTATACCATTACATCCATATTCGTTTATAATAGCAAATTCGTTTTCATCTTTTAATTCATTACACATATCCACTAATTGTTCCAATAAATCCTTCACCTATTTCAATAATTTTATATCATTTCTCATACATAATAATGTCAGGGAACGAATGGTATAATAAAAGTTGTTTATCAAGTTTATTCCATCTCACAAGTAAGCTATCAATTTATGAAATTATCAACTGTATAAGAATTCAACTCTTTAGCTATTAACTTACAGTTTTTACATTGACAAAGAACATGTTGTATTTTATTACAAAAAGTGTACACATAAGTCCGGGGGATAAAACTTTGGTAATGAGAAGCGGAGTACATCTTTGTGAAATAAATACTGTAAACTGCAAATAATAATTTTCTTTAGTTTTCATTGAAAAATTATTATTTTAATGTCACGCGCGCATATGGACACATATAAACTGTATATTTTATATTATTTCTCTAATTTTAAAAAAATGGTAATTATTTGTAATAAAATTTTATTTATAATATAAACGAATCAAATCAGAAATTTAATGAATCAAAATACAAATGTATAAAACGCACGTACTGTATGTTTTGATATTCTGTAAGTGTGTGCATGTAAACGATAAATATTAAAGAACTTATACTTCATCGATTATTTTAATTTTTACATTGAAAAACGCGATAACATCTCGCTGAAATATTTTTTAATAAAAAGCAAAGAGATTTTATCATTTTTTGAAATAACGCTTTTTGATGAATAATTAAAATAAAATAATTAAATATATATATATATTTAAATATTAACATGTTTATCTATGTGTATAAATATTATATACGAAAATGTTTTTAACATATTCCTATCAAAAATTAATTTCTATTAATTTAACTTTTGATATAATGTTAACAAATGTTAATCTAATTATTCGGTAATTGTTGTAAATAAGCAAATATATTTCAAAAACCTAGGTGTAATACATAATTCTGGATTCCATTGTTTCTAATATATGTAAAAATCAAAATTCATAAGAACCTTATAAATAATTCATAAGATATAATCTTAATTATCGCAATATTTATGATATACACAATTAATAAAAACAAAGTTATGATTATATGTAATTATACAGGGTTGGGTAAATTAATGATTTTTTAAAACTAAAAGTTCAGTTAAAGTTATAGTTACTTATCAAATTAATTTAATTAAGTTAAAAGTTGCATGGACGAAAATTAACTTAGTTAAAGTTAAGTTAAGATTAAATTAACTAAAGTTAAATTAAAAGTTAATTTTTAAAAACATTTATATTGAACTAAATTTTTTTGTTAATTCTATTAAAATTTAGAATAACAAGTAACAAAGAAATTTTGATTTTTATATAAAAATAAATGTCTTGGTAATTACAATTGATGACAAATATAAAAATTAATAATACTTTAATTTAAAAATAATACGTTTATATAACTTATAAAAAACCAATAATGGTATTCAGAGATAAAAAAAATTTAACTTAGGAAAAATGTTAATCAAAAATAAGTTAAAATTAAAAATTAATATATTTTCAATTAACTAAGCTAAGTTAAAAGTGATTAATTTTTTTTTAACTTTTAATTAATTAACTGGTTATTACCCAACTCTGCAATTATGATATAGTTGACATTTATTATTTGATGCTTCCACAAATTGACATTAATAAATTTTATGGAAAAAATTTTTGCCGTAATTCGTATTATATATATATGATATTATTGTTATTATATATAGTAGTTATTAAAACTTACTTGAACTATCACTTGTGTCGTCAAAACAGTAGACAAGAAAATAAATTGAAATCGAGTGAAGTTTGACTGTTGATAGGGCCACAAGCCAAGAGCGAGCAGAAGAGTTTTACTTACACTAAAATACTTAGTCTGAACGTCAAACATTTCTTCACAAAGTCTGAGACATGAATGACTGAAGAGCAGCCGACGAGGAGCGGCTCATCCCCTCTTTCTTCCCCATTTAAATATCTATTATCTATTATTTACTTACCTTCCTCTGGTGTAAATTCTAGCACAAATTACTTAATTTCGTATAATACAAGATGGTATACGATATTTTGCCTTACTGCTACCTTAGAGTCAGAATATTCGCATTTTTCCAACAGTTTTTTTTAAATAAAGTATTATTACGCAATCAATTTAAAAACAGAAGAAATTTACTTAATATCTTTTTTCCATGAAAAAAGGGGAGAAAATATTGCTAGAATTATGTATATTTGCGCAAAAGTCACGCATGCGTAATCGTCACTTTTTTTACAGAAATTTCACACCCTTCATTTCATCGCGCACTTTTGTGACATACGTATATGTTTCTTGAGAACAATATTCAGCTTTCAGTTGTATAGTATGTATAATATGTATAGTATGTATAAGTGGTGTTATATTTGAAGGTAAATTAATTAATTTTAGTTACGGCATTATCAAATCCGAAAATTTGAGCGATTAAGATTTTAATATATTCGGAGCATTAAATTCATTAATTTTGTTTAATTAATTTATGTATAATTAATTAATGTTTAAAATATTATATTATTAAATTGTTTATATATGATATATTGCATATTTTTAGTCCTATTATACACAAAATTTAAATTATATACAATATATTATTGCGTTAATCATGTTATATATATGTATTTATGTATATTTATATATGTTATTTTTTTTCTTTGTTATGTTCTTCTTATATGAAATAACTCACTTTTTTCTAACATAAATTTTGCGCAATTTATTTTAGTAAAAAAGAAGAAAAAGTGATACACAGAATATCACTGTGAGAATAGAACACGTGCAATTTGAAAATTTCCCCCTGAGGTGTCTACGATTAAACGATCGATACAACACTAAAAGTATTATTTTATAAATGTCTGTTTCCCACGAATGAATGTATACATAATATTCCCCTGTAGCCATTTTCCCCTCTAATTTCATTCCATGTGTGCAAACATAAATGTTTAGTCTTCGAATAAAATAAAATTTAACTCGAATATTTTGAAGCCGGATGATGCATTCATAGTGAAATTTAGAGATATATTAAAATGTGAGTGTGAGAATTAATGCGATTTTGAATTATTACAAAAAAAAAGTTGACGATTGATACAATTAATATTTCGCTGCGGCTAATCTAATATCATTCCTTATTAAATATTTACGTAAACTTTTATGTAATTATATTTTTTTACCAAATAGTATATATATATGCACAAAAAATTTGTTGTATGGCAAATGCAATATCACTTTTAGCAGATATCTCTGCAAAAAAGTTAAACCATCATAACATCTTTAATGCGTGTAACAGAGGTGTAACGATGATTTTGTATATCAATCATGGAGAATATAATATATATTTTAATAGATTATTACAATCTATGGGCATGCAAAGCGTTTATTGTATACCGAAAAAATTGAATACACTAATTAAACGTGTCAAAGATCCTTTACCTTTAAAAGAAAAAACAAGAGTAGTATACAAAATTAATTGCGCAAATTGTTCCTCATCATACATCGGTCAAACTAAACGACAATTAGGCACACGTATAAAAGAACATTTCAATAACATTAAGGTACACAATAGTAATTATTCAGTCATTAGTAATTATAAATTGGATAATGGTCATGATTTTGATTGGTCCGCTCCTGAAATTTTACATTATGGGAAATATGTACGAAAACGAGAAATCGCGGAGATGTTTTTTATCAAAAAATTTGACAACACAATCAATTTACAAAAAGACACGGATAATCTAAATATTGTTTACGAAAAACTAATAAAGATCGTTTAGTTTGATCAAAGTAATGAGTATAAAGAGCTTGAAACCGACACAATAATATAGTTAATTGTTTCACATTATATCTTGTCACATTCTAAGATCAAAAATTAAGTTTTTTATAAAAAAAGTTATGTTTTAGGTAGGTTTACATATTATTGTGTGGAAATATTTATTGTTTTATTACAGTTACTTTGTTACTTTCTAATTTTTTAATTTTCTAATAATTGTCATTATTATATATTGTAGCACTTGATAAGGGCCGAAACCCATGGCCGAAACGTCGTGAATATTAAATAAAGATCACTTAAATTGCCAGAGTTGGTTGATTAAATTACTACCATTTATTATGCAATCAATTTAATAACGGAAGAAATTTACTTAATGTCCTTTTCCCATAAAAAAAGAGGAGAATTAAATGTCACTTTTTTATAGCAGATGAATTTCATCCTTTATTCTGTCGCATGCTTTCGTAACATGCGTATGTTTCTTGAAAACAATATTAGCTTTCAGTGTTTTAATATGTATAATTAATGTGGTGTTATTTTTGAAGACAAATTAATTAGTTTTATCTACGGTATTTTTTTATTTTAAATTAGCATGATTAAGATTTCAATATTTTAGGATGAGCTATAAATACATATATTGATTTTCTCTGATGAAATTGTCGTCGACAATATCATTTTCCCAGATATACTTTTACTTCTCTCTTCAAATTTTAATTTCAACACATATTAACACACTTATAGATATTAATTAATATAATATTTATATGGAAATACAATTTTTTGTATAAAAGAAACAAGGTTAAAATTTTTTTATAATAGCATATACAATATAAAATTATATTAAAATATATAAAATTCTATATAAATTATGTGTATATAGTTATACATATATAATTAATTACATAAGTCATATAAAATTATATATAATTATACATAACTTATAATTTTATACTGTTATAAATAATTATATAAAAAATTTATCGAGATGCGCAGAGTGATTTATATGTATGTATATATGGCATTTAATGTTAAATTATCTTAATTATATAAAATATATAAAATTTAATATATAAAAAAGTTTTATATAAATATATATTAATTATTTATTTATATATATTAATTATATATATATCAATATTATATAATAATAAAATAAATAACTTATTATATAATATCATATAATACAATAAAATATATAATAATAAAATTATATAATTATACAGAGCTTTGCTGAAAAAGCAAATGAAACATTTTGCACACAATAGAAACGTTTTTCTCAATATTCACTAATCCTGTCATCTTTCGAACTCGAGATTTTCATATTCGAATATTCAAACCACTCGCAAAAGTAATCGAATTATGTTAATATTTGTGAAAACTGTATCGCAGAACGTCAACGCTAATCAATTTCAATCTTATAATTACAGATTATAATTTCCACACTGAAATATCCTCGTAATCGCGAGGAAATAAGATTATCGGCGAAGTGACACTTGATCTGCGACTTGACTAGAGACGTAGCATCACTCCGCCATATTTCCAACGCTCACGTCAGTCAACAGACACCTACCTGCATCATCCCGCCTGGTGGACGCTTGGGACGCGAGTTGCTCCTTCCTCTCACTCTCGATCACGGCAGCTGAATTGTTTCGCGTCATCGGTCGGATTCGCGCGCGCATCGCCTCGTTTCTCGAATGAACAGAGTCGAACTCGCGCTTCGTCACAGCCAGAAAGGGGAATCCTATGTTGAGAAATAGGAGCGTCGGTCCCATCGTGCAGAGAAGCTGAGGAGAGAGAGGTTCCTTCCGAATCGAGTGCTCCGTACTGGGTGTGTCACAATGCGCGCTGTTACTTTAGCTTTGATCTGCGCGTTTCTGCAAACAGGTATATCAATCATAATATTAATTTTTTGTATTTAAAATGATACCCTTAATGTTAGAGAATTAAGTATGAGAAAGAAATTATTCAATAATGAACAGAAAAAGAATTGTCAATGCTATATATATTTAATTGAGATGGAAAAATGTTCTTACATAAGGATTCTCAATGTTGTTTCAGTTGCGGCTCAGCGTACTCCAACAATATCTTACATATCGCAGGAACAGATTAAGGATATAGGAGAGACTGTGGAATTACACTGTTCGCTTCAGTATGCGCAGGATTATCCTGTTTTGTGGATTAAAGTCAACAGAGATAGTGTGAATGAACAAGTTGCTCTTACTACCGGCACTGCATTGATTATTAGAGACAGTAGATTCGCCATTAGGCATGACACGTCATCTGCTACTTATGTTTTGCAAGTAAGACTATTGAAATATGTTCCTGCGACCACAACCAATGGCTGCGTTCAGCAGAAAAAGCAGTTTTACAACTGTTGTTTATGAATCTGATTGGTTTATGCTCTTAGATTCAGCTAAGATGTATCTATTGATGATGATTTTTTATCATATTAGAAGATATTGTATTATATATTTTATATAATATTTTATTATATAATATTATATATGTAATTAATATATATTTATATATTATATTTTTTTATATATTTTATACAATGAGATAACGTTACATTAAATGATATTATATATGTATATATGTACATATAAATCACTGGGCATTCCAAAAAATTTTTATATATAATTATTTATAACAATGTAAGATTCACGAATTTTACAACAGTTGCAAAGCTGCTATTTATAAATTGTACAACAGTAATGATACAGAATTGATGTATTTGATATGTTTTCAGATTAAAGATATACAAGAGACAGATGCTGGATTCTATCAATGTAGAATACAAATATCTGTGAACAATCTTATAAATGCAGAAGTGGAATTGCAAGTTCGTAGACCTCCGATAATTAGTGACAACTCGACTCAATCTCTGGTAGTCAGCGAAGGACAAGCTATTATGCTGGAATGCTATGCCAGTGGGTTTCCGCTACCAAGAATATCATGGCGCAGGGAGAATAATGCCATTTTGCCTACTGGAGGATCAATTTATCGGTAAGGAATAAATTAATTTAATAAATTATTAATATATTAATATCTAAATATACAAATTAATATATTAATTTAATAAATTAAACCACATTATTCTTATATAAGTCAACTAACTGGCAAAAAATTTTTTATTTCTGATAACACGACGGGTTATATTTCGGTCCTTTTCAAGTGAAGCAATAGATTTACATATACCTAAACAAACAATATAAAATTCACATTGCAAAAAAACAAAAGGATAACAACAGTTGGTCGACTTATATAAGAATAAAGTGTTTTAATTTTTTCACTGGCGAACCAAAAGTCTACCTCGTTTATTTAATATATATATAAATTAATATTAATAAATTAAAAATAAAATTAATTTAATAAATTAATTTAAGTTTTATTATAAATATTTGATGTGCTGTGTATAAAATGGAAATATTATAGTGGTAATACATTGAAAATATCTACCATACGAAAAGAGGATCGAGGAACTTATTACTGCGTTGCTGAAAATGGTGTTGGACGTGGTGCTAGACGTAATATCAACGTAGAAGTCGAATTTGCACCAGTGATAACAGCACCGAGGCCACGACTTGGACAGGCTCTGCAATATGATATGGATTTGGAGTGTCACGTAGAGGCATATCCTCCGCCAGCCATTACTTGGGTCAAGGATGACGTACAATTGTCGAATAATCAACATTACAGCATATCGCATTTTGCAACCGCGGACGAGTATACCGATACAACGATTCGAGTTATTACTATAGAAAAACGACAATACGGAGAGTACACTTGTCGGGCAGCCAACAAATTGGGCAGTGCTGAAACAAAAGTCGAGCTTTTCGGTAAGAAGAAAAAGGAAAACACTTCTCGTATTTTTATGTATTGTATATGTTACCTGTAGATCATTTTATGTTTCATATATATATATATATACATATAGTGTATAAATTTATATAGTTGTTAAAGAGATTAATTATATTGGATCCAGACTTGTCAATATGTTGACTGGTGCATGGTAAAAAATTTATCCATCTTGTTATCTACATTATAAAATTCAATGTGCATATGAATGTGCATTTTACATCTTTTATTACAATTGTCTTTTAATTTTTATTTATCTTTAATTACAATTGTCTGTTAATTTTTATTTGTTAATTTATTTTTCTTAGCTATTTATAATACATTTATTTTAGTAGGTAGCATGTTAGATTTGTTCCCTTGTTTGTTTGCGCAGAAACCATTATTCCTGTTTGTCCACCAGCTTGTGGTCAAGCTCATTACGGAACTGGCGTAATTCCAGTTTCTTCGAATTTGGTAGTTCTAGTTTTATTAATTACAGTATTGAGGTAAGTCATTTTTCTGTTATGTCTTCTGATAATAATAAAAATTAAAATAATTACATTAAATATATATGTGTAAACGTACGTTGTGTTATTTACAGAAATCTCTATGCCAAATATTAACTACCCAGGCCTTCAGTGGGCAACAGCTAACAGGTGCGACTTCTTAAAATGGCCTTATGCAATCATTAGCTTTATTGTTGTCGCAATAATGCTATAAAAAACCTAAGCTACATGGGCCTCAATTAATGTTTTACTAACTGACCTTGTTTATTTTATATCACACAATTATTTTTAGAGTTATTTACGAACGAAACGATTTATATCATCGGTAAAAGAAAAAATACGTGCGCGTCGTAACATGTGATTGTATCACCACATGTTTATTATTTTTATCAACAATTGCACAGTGCAATCATTGATAAAAATTTCATATCATTATTTACATATTCTAGACTTACTACAGTTTTTTACGATACTTCCATTTTTTAAATCAATTTTTATGTATATATTATATAGATATGTTGTATAATTTTTATTGAAATTTCTATATATCTGTATATTATATATTATAATATATATCTAATATATATTATAATATATAATATCTATATATTATATACGTTTTACTTAAAAATCTCTGATTAATCTTGTCTTTTTATATTGTTTATAATTATGCTGCTCAATTTTTACAAATCGTACATCGAAATTTTAAACTTTATCGAAACAATATTAAACAAAATCGTGAATAGATTAGGATAGAAGAAAGTGTATGATATAATATATGTAATATATTTCTTATCTATCTATTATGCTAATTTACTACTTGTTAACATTTTAAGTTTTTAGAAAATAAACTTTCATACTTATGCATAGAGGGATCAATGATATACAAAAATGTTGGTAAGATACAAATCATAGCATGTAACATTCCAGTACACTTTTATGATGATACACGATATTATGCAACGTCGCGTGCAGATAGCATAACAAAAACATCTCTTGGCCTTTAACAGCTGATAAACGAGGAGCGAATAATAATGACGTTATAAAACATAATATTGGCTGCGTTCAGCAGAAAAAGCAGCATTGCAACCGTTGTAAAATTCGTGAATCTTGGTGTATGCTTTTGATATAGCTTTTGCCATAGCTGAATCTAAGATACATATTCTACGAATTTTATAATAGTTGTGAAGCAGCTTTTTCTGCTTAACACAATCATATTATCATATAGATAGTAAGATAAGTAGTTATTGGTAGATGCAAATCGACAATATGGATTTGTTAATATTATATAGGAGAAACCTGACAGTAGAATTTCCCAGCTGCTCTATTATTAACGAAAGGGTTTTGAAACGTCATGAACAAAGAAAACAATGTTGATTTTAGTGCCTTGTTCGTGATATATAATTCATATTGCAAGTAAAATTATAAATGTGTATATTATAGGCAGTATATGTGTTTATTATTTGTATCGCATTTATATTTATGTATGTTACTTGTGTCCGTACATAAATAAGATAATATTTAATTTTATCGAGCATATATTTCTTGACTATTTACTCTGCACGCTTATAACTGAATCTTTTTTAACAAGACGTATCATATGATATATAATTCTTGATAAGTAAAAATAAAAGGATAAATCTTAATAAAAAAGAATCTCATCAAGGTTTTATATATATACTCTTTATACAAATTTATATCGTTTTATACTTGTTAATATAGCAATTTGTATTTGGAATCGAAACCATGATACTCATAATATCTGTAATAATTGTAGTATTTATATACATTGTAACACACAATTATATGTATCATCAAAATATATTATAGCTTTAAAAACAATAAAATAAAGTTTTATACAGATACTCATATACAATATATTCTACAATTGCATTTTATTATTCGAAATTCCGTGCATTTAAATATTATAGAACTTGTGTACGAAGAATTAGTAATAAAAACTTCATAAAAATATATATCCTTTTCTTCTTTCCATTTCAACGTATAAGAACGTATAGAATCTCATTTCATATTTTGAAAACAGCTTTACTTATGTCTCCCTTCTTCAAGGCATCCAGAGCTTCGTTATATTGAGACAAAGAGAATACTTTAATTCCTAACTTCTTGTAATCAAGATATTTCTCAGACATTGATTGCACCAAAGCTAATCCTTTAAGGAAGCTGTAGGGATTTACATTCACACCTAGGATGGTCAGCTCTTTCTTATAAATCTGTCAAGATACAGAAAAATTATAATATATAATTTTATATAATAAATTAATTTTAAATAATAAATAATATACATATATATATATATATATATATATATATTATATATATATTTTATATAATAAATAATTAATTTTATAATATATAATATCCCAGATAGCAAACTGACGTCATTAAACGTCAAAATGGCGTCATTCCACGTCAAAATGTCAGTCTGACGTTTAATAATGCCAGTCTGCTATTTGGATAATTTTATAAAATAATTTTATATGATAAACATATAATTTTTCGTCAGAATAATACTAGTTATTGGTGATGTGCGATGAGTTTACCTGATATGGTTCAATTGCCAGCTTCGCTTTCGGATTAGCGACCCCAAATACACAAAGGCGACCTCCGTGACCTAATAAAGAAACGGCCGCTTCCATAGCTGGAGCGGAGCCGCTGCAGTCCACAGCCAAGTTAAACTCATCTTTTATATCGGCTGGACTTGCAATTTGATAATCTAGACCTATAGATATATATATATATATATATATATATATATATATATTCGCGTGAAAATACATTTCTCGGTTAGAATTATTCTCCAAAATTGTCGCGTTAAAACGTAATGGTGTGTAAAATAACGCTTTAAGACTTTTGGCTTTTCACTAACCATATGTTGAAATTGTGACGTTATAAAAGCGAGAAAATTCCCAGAATATTAAACTCGTAATGATATTATGATAATATCACTTAAAATTCATTTTAGAAAAAATTTTTTATATATATTACAATTATTTATCCAGGTAAAACTCAAAATGACATCATGATATGACATCACTTAAAAGAGATTTGGGATTTTTATGTTACAATTATTTATTTATTCTATTGTTAACATATTCTAATAATTCAAGCAACAATTTTTTTGAAAATTATACATATAAAGCGATAGGAGGCATCAAATCTATGATTCCTCTTGTCATCTTTAAATCATTTTTGAATCATTTTTGTGGTAACTTTTAAGTGATAAATAAAATTATGATTGTCATTATGAGTTTTATGTTTTACCTGGGCATTTATATATTCTATTCACACTCCAGATAGAATATATAAAACACTCGTCATAATGATGTCATCATGATTTTATTCATCACTTAAAAGTTACCTGGAGAATGATTAAAAAATAATTTAAAAATGACATGAGGAATCATAAATTATAATCCCCCTAATATAAGATAATCGCTTTATATAATTTTCGAAAAATTTATGTTGCTTGAATATTAAATTGTTAGAATATATGTGAACAATGAATAATAAATAATACCCAAGTAACAAACTAACGTTATATTAAACGTCAAAATAACGTGTGCTTACTTGGGAAATAATTACAACATATAAAAATTGTTTTCTAAAATCAATTTTAATAAGTGACATCATTCTGATTGTGAGTTTTATGTTCTACTTGGGATATTCTAACAATATTTAAGCTACATATCAATTTTTTGAAAATTATATAAAGCAATTATATGTATAATTAGGGAGCTTTAAATCTATGATTCCTTTTGTCATTTTTAAATCATTTTAAGTTATTTTTGTCCAGATCATTATAAGTGATAAATAATAAAATCATGATGACGTCACTATGACGTCATTATGAATTTTATATTTTACCTGGCATCTAAGAATTTTCAGTGTGTGCTTTCTCGCCTCTGACGTCACAATCTAACATGACCGCGGCGAGGACCCAGAAGTCTTAATTTTTTTTTAAATTACCAAGCTGGGCAGCGATTTCTCTCCGTCCTTTTTGCGGTTCACTGATGGTGACGGTCTTCCTGAGACCGTGCAGATGAAGTTGAGAGGCCCATAGTAAACCTATGATACCGGCGCCTATTACGAGAACTTTATCTCCAACATTTACGTTAGTTAGCTTGTCCCAGCCGTGAGCAAGACACGACAATGGCTCACTCAGCACCGCTTGATGCATTTCTAAGTCATCTGAGAGCGAATAAACCTACAAACCGCAGATGCAATAAATTAAGAAATGTATTATGCTATAACGAATATATTATATATATATATATATATATATATATATATAGTTATAATAATATACAGGGCATTTAATTTTAATATATATATAATTAATATAATCGAATATTGCTGAAACTGTTGCAGTAATTAAAAAAAATTTTATACTAAAATTAAAAATTATTAAAAAAATATATAGCTGCTAATTTTAAATTGTCTTTTTTTAAAATAACTGTTTTCTTTCCATCAATTAATTATTTCTCTCATTATTTTTTGCATAATAGTATTGAGATAAAATTATCGAAAAATAAATATATTTTACGAGGTATTTATTATATATAATTTATATATAAAATTATGTCACATTAATAAAATATCGCGTAAACTATTCGCTTTTTGGCTATTTTATCCTTGTAACTTTTATTTGTCAAATTTTGCGAGAAATTAATTTATATAAAAAAATTAGATTTACATTTTAAAAACCTAGATTGATCTTCAAATAATCTTGAAAAATGAATACATATCAGTTTAAATTTAATATTATCAAGTTTTTCCCTCTTTGAAACCTTTTAACTTTTATATAAAATATTTTCTTTACACAGCCATAGTTGCAGCAATATTGAATTATATTATTTAAAATAAAACATCCTATCTAGTATAAAAGATAACCTTTTGACAATGTAATATATATTATGAAATAGTGATAAAGTAGCGCAAGAAAAGAAGTAGTAAAAAATAGAAAAACAAAGAGTAAAGAACGGAGTTTCAATTATATATTAAAATGTTAGATCCTGCATGTTTGTATAAATAAGCGTCAAATAAACAAAAATTTTAAATTAAAATAAATTATCTGATAAAAATATATATATATATATATATATATATATATATAGGTGTGTAAAAAATGTAGTTTTTAATTTTAGTTCACTTATAAAGTCTTTTCTTTTCATCAAAAATTATTTTAGGAAAAAAGTTAATATCCTCTACAGCACAAAGTATTGACAGAATATTGCAAGAATATTTCTTATTTTATTTCTGCAAACGTGAATATAATATTTACAAAATATTGCAGAATGTTTCTTATTTTTATTTTCTTTATTTATATTCAGACACTTATTTGTTCGATTTCTGAGCAATCAATTTAATATTTGCACAATATTGCTGCAATATTTGTAATATGGCGCAATATTGAAATATTTATGCAATATTTTAGCAATATTTCGTGCTGTAGGGGAAGTTTAAGGTCAAGAATAACTATAATTAAAGTTAAAAATTAATACATTTTAAATTAACTAAGCTAAGTTAAAAATTACTAACTTTTCAACTTTTTTAACTTTTAACTAATTAACTAATTATTACACAACCCTGATATACATATATATATATATATATATATATATATTACTGCACCTGCGATTCCGGGATAATCGCGTGTGTGGCCCATCCTCCGTCCCTAAAAATTCCTATCCCATTATTTGTACCACCGCACGCACAAAAATGATAATTCGCACTGTGACAGTGATCGCATTTATTGCATCCGCTGTTAGGATCGACGGCAACCCGTTGACCGACCTTAAATATGGTCACTTCCGATCCAAGCTCATCTATTGTACCTACGAACTCGTGTCCAAGAGTTACAGGTCCATTCTCTTTACACGGAAAGGAACCCTAAAAGACGTAAATAAGAATGCCTTAAAATCGCGAAGCTCATACAAAAAATAATGACAAAGTTTTTTTATTGTATATTCTTTATCATAAATTATATTATTTCAAACAAAATATTGCATTACTGAATGCATTAGCAAAAAAATAGTTAAAAATTTATTAATATTCAAATATTTTTTATATTATATATTTTGAGATATGGCACGATTTTTGATATTATTTAAAAATTCGTAAAAAAACATACTTGTTTGTAAAAAAAAAGTATGTAATTTATAACTAGAAGTTGTATATTTTTTCGCAGAAACATCTATATGTGTTTTCGTTATATTAATTGATTCTCCCCACTATTTTGTGTATAATAGTATTGAAATAGGATTATGGGAAAATGAATATTTTACGAGATATTTCATATAATTTATATAAAATTATTTCGAATTAAAGTATTAAAATATCTCGTAAACTATTCACTATCCTATCCTTATATTTTTCTTGGATATTATGAGAAATCAATTTATATAAAAAAGATGGTAATTTTGTTTAAAAATTCAAGATAACCTTGATATGACTTTGGCAATGTCATCTAAGGTCAAACCATTTAAATCGCAATATGGGTTCTTTAAAACATGACAATTTTTATTTAAAAGATTTTTTTATAAAATGCTTTTTATCCAAAATATTAGACCATTTCGGGACTTTTTGCACATCCTGTATATAAAACATAATTCATTTTAACCGGCAAATATATATAGAAACATATAGAAGATATGAAAAAACATTTCATACAAAAGTTTTATGACTTCAACGAAGATGTAAGATATGGTACTATTTGTTTGACCTTGGATAATCATTTGCAGGTCCCGTGAATGTTACCTTCAATTTTTTAGATGGATCTTTTTAGATAGAGAGCTCCGTTTATCACTGTAAAAAAATATGTAATATATATTACACAAAAATATGTAAAATTACATAAGTGTAAAATTACACGATAAATAATAGAAATTTTTACTTTTTCATTATTCATCATGTAATTTTACATATTTTTAATGTAATTTTACACATTTTTTTTACAGTGTAGATGAATTATTACGAATTTTTTACATTTATAATTTTGATACTGAAAAAATGATGTATATTTATATAAAATATAATATTACATACTTCCAAAATATGAAGATCCGTCCCGCAGATTCCGGAATACGCAACTTTAATTCGTACTTCATTTGAGGCCGGTTTAGGAAGAATACCTCGCTTTTTCAGAGTAAGCGACTTCGTCGACGCATCGAAGCTTAAGTATTCCATTGTAATTTGCTTTGAATAGTATCACGAGAACACTAACAGATTCTATCACTCTCGTCTGATATTTATAAGTTCGTCAACACGTTATCAAATCTGGTGGTTGAGGAAAAAGTACATATACTTGGAGATTGTTTGTAACAGCGTGTGACGTCAAAAGATCACGATACATACTTGAGTGTAAGTCGTCTTCATGTCGTCAAATATCAATGTTACAGAGTAAAAGATAACGTATTTTGTACGCTGAAAAAAATTTGTTGACTTGACAAAACCTTCCAACTAAATTTTATTTTGTTACTTGAATAGAAATATTTAAATTAAATATAACATATATTTTTAACGTATAATAAATAATAAATAAAAAATAAAAACGTGATTAATATCGAAAATATATAAAAAGAAAATTTAAAAAACACAATATCTTCAAAAGTTTAAATTAGTCAAAGTGTAACGTATGAAAAAGTAATAAGAATTTAATTCTATAAGCAAAGCAGCTATTTGAAAACAATGAGAATCTAATAAAATATAATGTTGATTAATAATGAGCTAATAAGTGTTACAAAAATATAATTTATGTGTGTATAATCATTGCTCCAACATAGATTACATAATTCAATGTCGTCAAATATATTTTTAACCATCTTCTAAAACGTTTCAATTTTTATTAAACTGATTAAATAATAAGTCAGAAGATTATCAATGTTTATAAAACAAGTGAATAATATTTATACATATATTAAAAATTTTATATTTTTATATATTTATCTTACCTTTTATGTAGACACGTATTTATTTGAAGTAAACGGTCTGAATAAGAAAAAATATTTGTAAGATAAGATACTGTACAGATCAAACGAAACACCGAGATTTATTGAACAGGTCATATTAAGATAGTATACAGGTCAAAACACACAGATAAACAAATAATTAAAAATTCGAGACGTGCTAATGCAGCAAAAAATGTAAATATATTCGCTTGGAAACAAGAGAGTTCTCATTTCAACATTTATTGTCGTAAACGTTTCAATTTTTATTGATATCGTAAAATTATCTCTAAAATAAAATAAAAAAATAATTACAAATATTATAAATTAAAAACAAAAAGAAATAATTGTGTATAAATATTAATTAAAATCCGAATATCAATCAAAATACTACGGTAATAATAATATATAATTTTATTTTTTTTAATATTCTAATATACAAATTTTAAAAATTAAAAATCTAACAAATAATCGTGTTTTATATGTTTCAGCTCTAAACCTAGTTTTAACTTTATTAGCATTACTGCCAGTTACAACTCTTACATTTGATTTATTGGCAGTTTTAACGCTAATACAATTTCATTTTTGTTTCACTTGTTTTCCAGTCTTTATACAAACAACGATATTATTTAAAACTTGGCATTTTATGTTATCTAACTTTAGTACTTCACGTTTGACTTTAATATAAGTTTTAACTGTATTAACGCTACTGATTAAATTTGACTATCTGGATAATAAATCACATAATTAATATAAATTGATTAATTTAAAAATTATATTTATAATTGTATTTTTGCATAATTTGCCGCAGTTTTATTTATTATTGACTTTACTCCCTTCTGCATTTCAATCACTGATTTCAATCTCAACAAGATTGCGAGATATATTTTCTGTAATAAAAATGACAAAAGAGGCTATAAATGACCTAGTGAGCTGATAATTTATTAAGTTTCGATAAAGTACGTTAATTCCACAGCAGTTTGGCACCTAGAAGTCTCTAAGGACTCCAAATGTTTCAGACGCGCATCTTTGTTTGGATAGCCAATATTTTTCTTCGTTCACAAAGTAAAAAAAAAGAAATCGCAAACTTTCAACATAAAGGAAACATCATTATACATCGGATCACGATCCTCAAACATGAGCTAATTATTTTTTCTTACTTCGATGTAAAATTGTGATGCAGAAGCAGAAAATCCATTCATGCATGGCAGATCGACTCGTTATGAACGAATGTCCTTCAATTCATGAGAAATTTCGGGTCAACGGGACACGAGAAGCTAGGCTAACTGGTTGCACTGGGGAGACCGGAAATGGGGTCGAGAATGACGTCATCTGGCGTTCAACACCGTTCATTCAACCCCCGGGGATAAACTGGGTCAATAGGACAAGCTACCCCTTTATCCTGATCTCTTTCGTAAAAGGGAGACTTCTAACTCTTCTAGAAGAGATAGAATCTCATGTTTATTATTGTTACAATACATGTAAGAGATGGTATCAATTATTCCGCAATCCTGAATGTGTTAACATCATTCCTTAATATGTTAGATTACCCAATATACCAATATACCAATTTCTCTATCTACCAATATACCAATTTATCTATCTGCTTGAAGTTTGCTGTGGAATCAAGTATTCCGATAGATCGATTATAATTTGGGATCGATATATGAGGAAATTATCGAATACAACTGCTCATCAGTTCTAAAAATTTAATTATGTCGCTTAGAGCTTGCAATTTCGCTTCTGACGATCTGTCTTCTCTAGACGAAAAAGTCATTCAAGAGGCAAAAATCTAATTCACCACTTCGGCGCGTTTTTCCAATGGTCTAAGAAAAATGATCAAAGCTTTAACGACCCACGGACTGACATTTAACCGGAGCAATACGGGCAGAATAATCATGTAATAGAGTGTAACTTAAATGTTTGCATATTTATTTTTATATCTTTCTTTTCCTCAAGTTTGCTGAACAAATGAACAGTATTTGTTGTTATCTAAATAAAATTATATAGATGATCATCTAGATGAAACTTTGGCGTCATCTTGTCTTAACATATAATAAAAATATGTATAGATAATAAAAATATATATATTCTAATAAAGTTGTATGTCGGTTCATTTAGATAATTTTTAAAACTCTTAAACGCAGTTTAAAAAAATGTAAATTATAAAAGGGATATGAAATTAGATGTATTCATATTTTTATTTATAAACATTCTTACCCCTTATACTACTATTTAAATATTTTTATGTGCTATAATTCTAAATCAAAATTATCTGAAAATTATTCTAAATAATTTTAGTAAAGATAATATATTTTTTTTCATCAAGATATATACAGATATAGATAATACATATTTGTATACATCTTATCTTTATATAGACAAATATGTATTATCTATATAAAGATAAGATGACACCGAAATTTCATCTAGATGATCATCTATATAATTTTATTTAGATAACAGCAAACACTGCATCCTCTATTGAAAATTAAATATTTCACGGCGTTTTCGGGCATGTATAACGAGATTAGACCATTTCCCGGATAGAAATCGCTCCCTTGAGTATTTCTAGGTAACCAATGATGGCACGTGCTTTGGTTTCTGAACGAGCTACAAGGTGAATGGACCATTCGACGTCACCAGCTTCCAAAGTAGGTCGCCGTGGACGAGTCCGGGTCGCCTTGTCCCTTGTACATCGCCATTAGCTACGGCAGTGCAGTTCATTGAAAAACCGCGAGTCGATCAATATTCTGTGGATAAATACATTAATAACAATCCACGAAGCGAATGAATGCCAGAATCCACGGTCCTTTGAGCAATAACGAATTCAGCTGCACTGAATCGCGACTACAAACAAAAAACCTGTTGGGAGAAGATGGGGCGAAACAAGGGTAGAAAAAGGGTCGCGCATACACACATATACACGTGGCGAAGGGAAAGGGAAAGAGGCCGCGAGCTGTGTTCAATGAAAGAGCTCTAGCCCCGTGAAACGGATGCGAATGGGTCGACCATTCCATTGAAGGTTACATTTCGCATTGCGTATGCGCGGTGCCCTGACGTGTTTCTCTCTATCTTTATCCCTGCTCGCCTTGTTTCGCATATTTATCACCTTCACTCTGTTTCTCTTCACGAGCAGTGTGTTTTGTGCTTAGATAATTTTCAAATTATAGCTACACTGATAACAAATTTGTTAACTTATGACTTTCCAGCAAACACCGATATATAATTGTTACATTGCTATATAATAAAACGGAATATAACAGGTAATATAACGTGTACGTTACATGTAACATACATGTTAGTTGTAATTTCCTACTCATAGATGTAACATTTTAATATAACATATATTACATTGTAGTTATATTGTAATTATATACCAAATAGCACATTGATGTATTGATAAGTCAGTTCTATCTTGGGATATAATGACAATATAACTACAATTTAATATATGTAATATTAAAAATGTTACATCTATGAGTGGGAAATTACAACTAAGATATACGTTACATGTAACATGCTTGAGTATATAACATTTATATACTGTGTTTGCTGGGTTATGACTTCCCAGCAAACACCGATATATAATTGTTACATTGCTATAATAAAACGGAATATAACAGGTAATATAACGTGTACGTTACATGTAACATCCATGTTAGTTGTAATTTCCTACTCATAGATGTAACATTTTAATATAACATATATTATATTGTAGTTATATTGTAATTATATACCAAATAGCACATTGATGTATTGATAAGTCAGTGCTATCTTGGGATATAATGACAATATAACTACAATGTAATATATGTAATATTAAAAATGTTACATCTATGAGTGGGGAAATTACAACTAACATATACGTTACATGTAACATGCTTAAGTATATAACATTTATATACTGTGTTTGCTGGGTTTCCAATCACTCATTTTTACTAGAAAAATATATGAATATATGAACTTTTTTTACTTTGACGTAAGAAATCCGCTCTAGAAGTTTGTCCAAGTATTTTATAAATACTCTATACAAAACAAATAACAATTTTATTTTATCAATTCTATTTGAAAGAAAAATAGAACGAAATTGTAAAAGTCATATTGGATTTAAATCTTTTTCAAAATCTAATTCTAAAATTGTGTCACGTGATATAGATAATATCGAGCTACATATGAAATTCTATGTCGATTTAAAAATTAACAAATTCTATTGGATTTCTCTAGATTAATGCGAAAAATTACTTAAACTATTGTTAGAACTGCAATGTGTTAAAATGAATATTCATGGTTAATATTAATGTGATTCATCTTCTAACGAGCCATTGTTATCGAAAAGCTAATTATAAAAAGTAATAGAAAAAATTGAGACCAGAGACGTCTAAAAACCAAGTCATGTACAAAGACTCTAATAAGTTCCATTCATGTCTGGCTTACAATTAGATAATCTTTATAATCAAATAATAATAATAATAAAGCGAAAAAGAATTTTAAGACTACCAATCGAAAATTGATGAAAATAATCGGAGAATCTAAAATTTACGTCAGTTTTTTATCATTTTCTTAACGATGAAATTTCAACAATAGCATCTATTCTTTTCAGATTCCTCTTTTTCACTTAATAAGGCAACATAGAGTAAGATCACGTGCCTCAAGATCCTTTTTATAACACACATACATACTTTTTATAACAAAATCAAATTTCTGCCTCTTCCATATTAATAATAACAGATTATAGAAGAGATATGATAAATAAATTTGTGAATGAATAAAAACGTCAAAAATATTTTAAATACAAGTTGTAGTTTACTGGAAAAAATATATTATTAATTTAATTTTAAAAATTATTATTTATTTAAATAATTATTTTTTTCAAAAATTATGTTAGCCTCAAAATGACATTGTTAATATATAACATTGTCATTGTATTATATATACATATATTTCATCAGGTCACTACATTTTCTATTGCCTTCAAAATTTTAAAACATTTTTGAATTTTTTTTTGTAACTCTTAGTTTTCCAGATTGAATATTTTAAAATGTATAAAAATAATAAATATATAGGATAGAATAAATAAAATATAGATATAGAGATATAGAGATTAAAATATTTCTGCATAATTTTTTTGATATATATAAAATATAATTTTTATAAAAAAAGTCTCTTCATAACGATTTTATTATATATTATATATATTTTATTTATTATATATATATATATATATATATATTTTATTATATATATTTTGGTTTTAGTCATTAAAAAAGAATTTCATTCTCTCTTCTCCTTAATTTTGTAAAATCAGATAAGCTGCTATAAAAAATTATATCGCTATATCGCAAGCAAATATTTATCGCAAATTATTAATAATACAAATATTAAAAAACGGAAGAGATAAATTATTTTTATCGAATCAATGTTCAAATATTATCAATAATCTAATTATTTTTTGTTACGGAAAGATTATTTCCGGAGATATCTTATATATATTATATAAAAATATAAAAGAGATTATTTGGCCAATTTTTCAAGTCATTTTATATTTTTTTCTAAATTTTTATTTTTTTCCATTATCTAGCTGTATTATAATCAAGACTTGAATTAACATTCTATTAAAGATTGTAATTTTGAACTTTTTTATTCTACAAAGTTTAGTTTGTGAAATCCTTTTTAAAGCTCTTTAAAATCCCCTTTCTCAATCATTTATTCGTAAATTATTGATGACACTTGATATTTTCGAAGGAAACATTATTTCCAAATTTGGCCCGAGAATCTATTATTAAAAGATTCTAGTAGTTTTTTGGGATATCCTGTATTGTATATTTATCGTCAAAAACTACATTATATGTGTGTGTATATATAGGATATATATATATATATATATATATATATATATTTAAGAGACAATAAGTGTATTAATGTCACAAATAATATATGTCCATATCTACAAATGTATCTAACAATCAAAATGTGACAGAGAGTATACATGTATACCTATATGTATTACAATACAGAATACATATTCTAAAAAAACTGTTGCGCGGTTGTAAATTACATTTTTGACGCGTTTAAAATTAGTTTTTGCATTTATGGAAAATATTTATTTAAAATCCATACTTAATGCAAGATATTGGTAAAAATACCATATATGTCCAAAAAAAATAAAACTTTTTTAAAAACGTGTTTTTGATACTTTAGATTTAAATACTATTAAAAAGAATCATATTTAAAAACAAAAACTATGCTTTTGAAAGATTTTGATATGTTATATAACATTACAAAATAAATATTCCACATATATATATATATATATATATATATTTAATATAATATATACATTTTATATGGACACATATTCTATCAAAATAGAGAATATTTCTCTATATTCTAATATATTTTTTTCTCTGTATGTAATAATTTTAAGAGTATTATATTCGCGTTACAACAAAATGTGTGCGCAACAATTTAAGAATTGAAAAAGCTTCAAAAGTATAGTATCTATTATTAAAAAACTAAGACAAAATAAAATAGACATTTAAAAAATTAAATGTAATAATATAAATATATTAAAAATGTTTAATATAATTGTTTTAGTAAATATTATTAAGAAATAATTTGCAATCAAAATATAATTATATTTACTACGATTTCATAAATTTACATTAAACACGTCTTTTAGAAAATTATATTTCAAATATTTGTTTAATAACGTAATATATATGTTTTAAACATGGTGGAACATAATCCTGCCATAAAGAATACGCATATATATACATATATATATATATAATATCATTGTCACAAATTGCGATCCACGTATTATAGCGTCATCAAAATAATGTTCGCAGCCCACAAAAAAAAAATATATTAAAAAATCCTGCCTCTTTTCTTCTCTCGCTTTAAGCTCCTTTGTACAATTTTACGTTAATTTCGCTAGTTAAGTGTAACAAGATGAAAAATTGACAGAGGCGGGTGGAAGAAGCATAAAAGTTTGTTGTGTGGATATCGATTGGGGACGCTGTTCGCCGACGAGACTAACCTACATTCTATCTCCTTTCTTCACCCTTCCCGAGCCGGTTTGTCCCTCCAACCCTCCTCTTTTCCACCCTCTTGTCGACCTCAAAGTTCTCATTCAACGTCTCTCCCTCTCTTTCTGTTCTTGTATCTACCCTTACGCTTTCTCCGTCTCTTTTTATCTGCCTCGTATAATCGTATATTCGACGAGCATTTGAAGAAAAATAGAGGCAATGAACACAGATAAAAAATATGAAATATACTTATAATCAAAAAGCGACGAATATGTAATATGTATGTGGTGTGTGACGCATTAATTTTTAATTTAAAAAGACATTTTTTAATCTATTTATTGAAATAATAAATAAATTTTAAATATCGAACAAAACATAATAACATCATAACGTTATCATAATTATTCATCACTTAAAAGTTATCTGGAGAAAAATTATTTATAAATGATTAACTATAATAAACAAAAAATATAACCCTTGTAGAAATTTATCACTAGCAACGCCAATTAATCACTTATTTCGAGTACTTAAAATACTGATATACAGTAATTTAAGTACTCGAAATAAGTGATAAATTGGCGTTACTACTAGTGATAAATTTCTATAAGGGAAATGAAAGAAAGAACAATTATAATAAACAATTGTAATATCTATAAAAACTTTTTCCAAAAATGTTTTTCCAAAATAATGATACGATGACGTCACTTAAGAGTTATTTTAGAAAAAACTTGTATATATTACAATTATTTATTTATTCTATTTTCACACATATTCTAACAATATTCAAGCAACATAAACTTTTTAAAAATTATATAAAGCGATTATCTTATATTAGAGAGCTTTAAATCTATAATTCTTTTTGTCATCTATTTTTAATTATCCCAGGTAGCAGACTAATATCATTAAACGACGTCATTTTGATATTTAATGACGTTATTTTGACGTTTAATGACGTAGTCTGCTACCTAGAATTTTTGTCCAGATAATTTTTAAGTATGATGAATAAATTTTTAAGTATGATGAAAAATTTTTATGTTCTACCTGGAGTAGCTTAATTCCGACCTGCCAAACAAAAAAAATAAAAATAGGCTCAAAGCTAAATAACAAACATAAAACCCATAACAACGTCATCATAATTATTCATCACTTAAAAGTAATCTGGACAAAAATAATTCAAAAATGATTAACTAATAAACAAAACAATATAAATAAAAAAGAATAACTAATAATTGTAATATAACTATAAAAACTTTTTCCAAAATTTTTTTTCTAAAATGATATCATTATGACGTCACTTAAAAGTCATTTTGGAAAAAAATTTGTATGTATTATTTATTTATTCTATTTTTCACACATATTCTAACAATATTCAAGCAACATAAATTTTTTGAACATTATATAAAACGATTATCTTATATCAAAGAGCTTTAAATCTTTGATTTCTTTGTCATCTTTTTTTAATCATCCCAGGTAGCAGACTAAGATCATTAAACGTCAAAATAACGACATTAAACGTCATTATGATTTTATTCATCACTTAAAAGTTATCTGGACAAAAATTTCAGGTAGCAGACTATATCATTAAGCGTCAAAACGTTATTTTGACGTTTAATGACGTAGTTTGCTACCTGAGATTTTTGTCCAGATAACTTTTAAGTGATGAATAGAATCATATAATGACATGATTATGAGTTTTATGTTCTGGGAGTTGTAGCTTAAAATTCCGACCTGCCGAACAAACCAAAATAGAACAAACTCAAAGCTAAACAACGAACAATATTACTGACTTACAATCAATATCAGACACTATATAAATTCGAGTTCTCCGTGAGAGTTCTTCGTTTTTTCTCTCCTTCCGTTTCCTGCAAATGAGTTTTATGTTCTGGGAGTTGTAGCTTAAAATTCCGACCTGCCGAACAAACCAAAATAGAACAAACTCAAAGCTAAACAACGAACAATTACTGACTTACAGCCAATATCAGACACTATAGAAATTCGAGTTCTCCGTGAGAGTTCTTCGTTTTTTCTCTCCTTCCGTTTCCTGCAAATGAGTTTTATGTTCTGGGAGTTGTAGCTTAAAATTCCGACCTGCCGAACAAACCAAAATAGAACAAACTCAAAGCTAAACAACGAACAATTACTGACTTACAGCCAATATCAGACACTATAGAAATTCGAGTTCTCCGTGAGAGTTCTTCGTTTTTTCTCTCCTTCCGTTTCCTGCAAACGGACGAGAGAATCTCATCTGAATAATTTCTCGCATAATTTTGTACTTTGAATAATTTCGGGGATGTTCCATGTATATACATACGCGAGAGTCTCTCTTTTTCCCTCGACAAAACCGTGTATACGCAGGCGATAAAGCGAGGCTACCTGGCGAGGAAGAGGGTGGGTCGGTCGGATCTCGTATCCGTGTCACGAATGCGCGCGTCTGCTTCCTCGTATATGCACTCTCTCTTTCTCTCTCCACCCTTTGCCATCCCCTCTTCGGGGCGGCATAGTGTGTGTGCCCGCCGAAAGAGGTGAATGCAGTCGACTTTTGCGATCCGTTCAGACGCCATTCAGATGCGTCCGACGCGTGTCCGTTCCAACGCGCTCGTGCGATTCATCCGCTGCAGAGCCATGTTCTTATTACCATCCACCCCGGTGTCAATGTGCGCTGGGTGATGCCGGCGATCGCGGAAACGTCTTAGCGACACGTGACAGAACGCCCCGAGAAGAGGGAAAGGCTCGTCGTCGTCGTCCTCTCCCATCCAGCTCCTGCGTCTTCGCCTCGAAAAAGTATACGGCCAAGGAAAATGCAAGTGTGTATATACATATATATATATATATATATATATATATATATATATATATATATATATATTTGTATGCAGTAGTATTATTTGCTTGTCTTCTAAAATAAAATTATATAGATGATCATCTAAATGAAACTTAAATTTGACATTATCTTAATTATCTTTATGTAGATAATAAAAATATGTATTATATCAGAGTGTTTGCTGTTATCTAAATAAAATTATATAGATGATCATCTAGATGAAACTTTGGCGTCATCTTATCTTTATATAGATATTTTTTTTATATAGATAATTTATATAGATAATAAAAATGCAAAAGGAAAATGCAAGTGTGTATATACATATATATATATTTGTATGCAGTAGTATTATTTGCTTGTCTTCTAAAATAAAATTATATAGATGATCATCTAGATGAAACTTAAATTTGACATTATCTTAATTATCTTTATGTAGATAATAAAAATATGTATTATATCAGAGTGTTTGCTGTTATCTAAATAAAATTATATAGATGATCATCTAGATGAAACTTTGGCGTCATCTTATCTTTATATAGATATTTTTTATATAGATAATTTATATAGATAATAAAATGCAAAAGGAAAATGCAAGTGTGTATATATACATATATATATATTGTATGCAGTAGTATTTGCTTGTCTTCTAAAATAAAATTATGTAGATGATCATCTAGATGAAACTTAAATTTGACATTATCTTAATTATCTTTATGTAGATAATAAAAATATGTATTATCAGAGTGTTTGCTGTTATCTAAATAAAATTATATAGATGATCATCTAGATGAAACTTTGGCGTCATCTTATCTTTATATAGATAATAAAAATATGTATTATCAGTGTTTGATGTTATCTAAATAAAATTATATAGATGATCATCTAGATGAAACTTTGGCGTCATCTTATCTTTATATAGATAATAAAAATATGTATTATCTGTCTGCATCTTAAATGAAAAAAAAGGATTATCTTTACTCAATTATTTAGAATAATTTTTAGATAATTTTGATTTAGAATCATAACACAAAAATACTTAAATAGTAGAACTTAAAAATTATTATCTAGAAAATTATCTAAATAAACCGCCATATAATTTTATCTTCTATCTAGATATTTAAAACAAAATTATCTTTATCCTCCCCCCTATCTAAGATACATTTACATATATTTATCTCATGTTTAGCTAGCTAATTTTAAAATCGTCTGAGCACAACACTATCTATACCTCTTGCATTTTAGATGAAAAAAAGTATTATCATTACTAAATTATCTAGAATAATTTTCAGATAATTTTGGTTTAGAATCATAGGACCGAAAAATATTTAAATAGTAGAACTTAAGCAGTATAAGCGAGACAAATTTATAAATAAAAATATGAATACATATATTTTTATATCTCTTTTATAATTTACATTTTTTTATAACTGTATTTATATATGCAATCTTAAAAATTATTATCTAGAAAATTATTTAGCTAAACCGCCATATAATTTTATCTTTTATTTAGATATATTTGAATTGAAAATCATCATCTTCATCTTATTTAAGATGAATTTACATATTTTTATCTCATCTTTAGCTAGCTAATTTTAAAAGCATCTAAGTACAACACTGTTAAGTAGTAGAATTTAAACAATAAGCTATAAAAACTTATAAATAAAAATATGAATATATTTTTATATTCCTTTTATAATTTATATTTTTTTACTGTTTACTTGAGCAGTCTTAAAATTATATATTATCTGAATATATACATATAATATTAACTGGAAATTATCTAGATGAATCGCCATATATAATTTTATTTTTATTTAGATATATTCAAAACAAAACAATAAAATGAATTTACATATTTTTACCTAATCTTTATCTAGCTAATTTCAAAATTATCTAAGTCAACCTTGTCTGTATGTATATATACATATCCAAAGAGAATAGAAAGTCCAAAAATGTCAATTTGACGTCATATCAAATTTTGACATCAATTTGATGTCAATTTGATCGATATGACATCAAACTGACATCATTTTGATTTATTTGTTTTCCATGGGTATTATTATTATTATTATTATTATTATTATTATTATTATTATTATTATTATTATTATTATTATTATTATTATTATCTGTGTTATTTCTCGATATAGACTCTCTGTCAGAGTATTGACAGTTATACGAAAAATCATTTATTGTCAGATATATATATACAGGGTGTCTCGTAGAGACTAAATCAACGCTTAAGGGTAGATTTATTATTTGGAGACGATTTTTTCTTATTGTTAGCGAAAATGTTATAAGCGACTGAAAATAAAGGGTTTTTCACAAACTCTAAGCCTTGTGGAAATAAAATATTAACAAAACCACATTCTTCAATTAATTTCAAGTAGAGTCTACTTTAATAAAATTTTTATTTTGCTTAGTTACAAAAATACATGATGGCAAAAATTGAAAACTCGCAAAAAATGATGACCTTTCTCGACAGGTTTTTGTTGAAGAAAAATCGTCTCCAAATGATCCCAGGAATCTACCCTTAAGCGTTGATTCGATTTTTACGGGACACCCTGTTTATGTATAGTTTCATTAATATATTGTATATGACATATAGTCAATATGAACGGAACACAATCTTTATCATTTAGACGTATTTTCCCCTAGAAGTTTATTAAAATTATAATTTATAAAAATTATTATATATTGAAGATTAATTTATAGAAAATTTTCTCGTAAAATAGTCAAATAATTTATGACATCGAAAATAAAAGCAATTATAAATTTCCATATTTTCTATATTAATTTTGTATATACGATACGAATTTGAATTAAGTAGAATTTATTTAATAGAATTAAATTTATTAAATATAGAATTTATTAAATATTAAATTTATTAAATGTAGAATTATAAATTTTCATTTAAATAGAAATCGATATGAATAATTCATCGAAAAATTGATATATAAAATATTAATTCGATAACTGACAATTTATTATAAACAATTTATTATTATATCTCTTTCGCTATTTCTCATTAAATTAATATTTTATTCAATTATATGATTGTACACAGAAAAAAACAAGAAGTTTCAAATCAACTTATCTATTTATATGTACGCAACAATATAAATAATTTTCTAATAAGAGTCTACAAAAATTTTCTAAATCTTAAATTTTAATAAACGTTACAATCTTATCTTAATATTATATATTGTCTGAAAAATATGTTATTTTATATGAAGATAAATTATTTTCTATCTAACATGTTTCTTTTCTATTAAAAAAAAATTATTCTTAAATAATATAAGATTAATATTTTTCTTGGTTGAACTCTATAAAATGTTTTCATTATTAATCAAGCAAATTTGAAAAAAAGTGTTGATTTGACACATCTTTTTTCTGTCTATAAACTTTTTACCAGAGTATTGACAGTATACGAAAAAAATAATTTATCGTTAGACATATACACGCATACATAATATGTATATATTATATGTAAATATAGTTTTATATCTTTTCATCAAGTATATATTTTAATAATAAAAATCTGTTATCTATAATATAAAGAAACTCGTATAAAAATGATCATCAAAGATTTATTTAGAAAATTTTCTCGTAAAATAGTCAAATGATTCGTGACATCGAAAATAAAAGCAATTGTAAATTTTTCATGTAAATTTTATATATAAGATATGAAATTGAATTAAATAGAATTTATTTAATAAAGTTAAATTGATCCATTAAAGAATTTTCAATTTATTTAATTTGATTATAAATTGTCATTTGAGTAAAAAGCTATATGAATATCAAATGCATCGAAAATTTATATATAAAATACTAATTCGATAATTGACAATTTATTTTATACAATTTATTATTATAGTCTTTTTCGTTATTTTCTCATTGACTAATATCCTATTCAATTATATGATTGCGGATGTAATGAGTTAATTTTAGGCTTAATTTCTTATGACTCAACATCACAAGAAGATATCTGTTTCAATTTAAACTTTATATCATTGAAATAGCGAAATTTATTAATATGAAATAATTTTTTTATTTTTGAAGAGAGAAATAGAGAGAAAGAGAGAAAATTATCATAAATTTTAATCCTCTGTAAGCACATTTGATTTTTCTTTTTTCAAACAATTATCTTAACGCAATTTTACACGAATATGTGAATATATTTAACACATAATTTTCTATTACTATATTTTTATTAATTTCGAACAATTGTGCAAAAAAATAGAAAAAAAATTAATCGAATCGTTAGAAAAATATAAGAAAATATTTAAAAAATCGTTTAGTTACTTTGTCTATAATTTTATTAAGATGAAAGCATCACAAAGTAGCATTAAAGAGATTTTTATTAATTTCAAGCAATTTTCTTAAAAAAAAATAGAAAAAAAATAAATCGAATCGTTAAAGAAATATAAGAGAATGTTGAAAAAATCGTTTGGTTACTTTGTCTATAATTTTATTAAGATAAAACATCACAAAATAGCATTAAAGAGATGTAGAAAAAGAGATGTAAAAGTAAAACGCAAATAGTGTGATTTGTAGCGAAATGAATGTGATGTTTAAGCGACCGTGAACGGCAAATACGTATATCCGGTTTCATGAATCATCGGTATATTCTTGAGAACTACATAGGCGCGTAAAATATTCGTGCAGGAAGATATTCATCATGAATGTCGCAATTATTTATATGATTGAGATCGATCATAATAATTTATATCAGAATTTTTATTAGAATTATTTTGTCTTATAATGGCAGTAAACTTATTTAGATCAAATAAAAAGTAAAAAAACTACGATTTGTCCAGGGAGAAAAAATGTCTGTATATAATCAGATATAAATAATTATGTGTTTTCTTTTCTTAAAAAAATTTTGTTCGTATGTTACAGAAAAAATAATAAAAGGAGTAATTGAAATATAATTAAAAGAATAATTTTCATATTGGTTTTTTTTTAAATAAAATTTGAAAAAGTGAGAAAGAATTGTTCATAAATATAATTATATATAAATTTATTATATATGTGGATAATTTTTTACTTTATCGAATTTTATTTTAAAAAGCTATGAAAATTGCTCTAATTATTTGTCAATTCTTCTTCATATTACTTTTCTATGCATACGGACACAAATTATACATATAAGAAAAAGGAAAAATATATAAATATATTTTGTATTTGAATTATATATTTTTGTAAATTTATAGTCTTATATGCACAAATTAATTCATAATAATTTATATGCAATCAAGATAACAAATTTAAAAAAATAGAATATGTAAATTTTATAAGCTATAACTCTAAAAAAAATATATATACATATGATTTTTTAATAAAAAAAGAAACAATAATAATAATTTTCAATAAATAATTCTAGAACAAATATGTATACATATTTATTTATATATATTTATTTAGAAATTTCCTTATATATTATATTTAAATATAGTAGAATCAAAATTAATAAAAATTTATTTTGAAAATTATTTATCAAAATTAATTAAAAAATGTAAAAATTTATTTATAAAATGACAAAATTATTAATTATTTTATAAATTTATTTTAAAAATTACTTCTCAAGATTAATGAAAATTTAAATAGAAAAAAAGAAAAATTTTTATCTATAAATAAAACATTTTTTCTCGAACGGCTGTTGGAGATAATACGGAAAGACAAAAAAATCGTGAATCATCCTACATAATCCGTATAAAAGCCGGAAAGGAACTTTAATTCATTCAGATCGTGACGGCAATGACGCCAATTCAAACGACATACGAGACAATGACTTCTCTCACTTTTTTCCATTATATGGAAAACACATATATACATGGTGTCCCTATTTAATGTCCCACGCCAAATAACTTTATTTTTTTATTGTAGAACAAACTGTTTCAGACAAAAGTTGTATATGATTTCGAGGATATAAAGGTAACTAAATATTTTACAAGATACTTCCCAAGTAGCAAACTGACGTCATTAACATCAAAATGACGTTATTTTGATGTCAATTTGTTACTTGGGTTAACATTTTACATCAAAAAATTGTTAACTTTCCTAAGTAGCAAACTGACGTCATTAAACGTAAAAATGACGTCAAAATGACGTTATTTTGACGTTTGATGACGTCAGTCTGCTACCTCCCTATAAGCGCATGGATATTATTTAATATTTAAGCAATATTCTAGGCGTATTTGTAGAATATTTAATATTCTAAGAGTACGCCTAAAATATTAAATAATATCATGCGCTTATAGGGCTGCGGGTCGAATCTTTATAACTCAAAAAGTGTACTTCATGAAAAAGTACTTTATTATAGGGTTTTGAAAAGCTCTCGAGATAACCTACAAGAATATGCAATGAAAAATCCGTGTTCCCATTAAGAAATTGAAGATGACCTTCACGTGACCTTCAAGCAACTATTCAAGGTCAAACCAATGGCACCCCCTAAAACCATCCAAACCTCTTGTCTAAATAAACATTTTCCCTTCTACATTGAAAAATAAAAAAATTTATTTAAGATATGAGACATCAAATAATATAGGACACTCTGTATACACATATGCACACACACACACACACATATATATATATATATATATATATACATCGCATTGATGTACAAAATCCATTGTTACCTGAGAGAACAATAAACGCAGCCTCCCTCGTCGCATTAATACCTGGCGTGCGCGCCGGATAAACGTGAAATGTCGATCCGATTGACGCCGTCGCATTAATCGCACGTGCTGGCGGGCGCTCATTCACGCTTCCCCCACTCCGGCGCGCGCGCGCTCTGATTGGTCGGCGCGGATGGGCCGGTGGCGCCAGCGCGCGCCCGATTGGCGCGCGCCTTTACTCCCGCGTACTACGCGCGGCGAGAGAGAAAGGGGGAGAGAGAGAGAGAGAGCCGGTCGCTAACACTATGAATAGAAGCGAAGCCCAGGTCAAGGCGCGCGAAACTCTTCTTTAAGCAGCCAGTTTTTCGATCTCGATATTCCGCAACATGGCCGCGATTTCGTCCTGTCACACGCGGTTGGCGCCTCCGGCACGCCAGACTCCCGGATCGCACGTCAATCACACCGTGCTCGCGCTGCTGGCGTATCTCCTGTTGATGAAAGGTATCGATCAAACCGATTTTATATGTATATATGCGCACGCGGACGCTCCGCATATCCGTTTCTCTGGTATAGGTATCGCGCATCGCTGGAAAACAGGATGTGATTTATTTGTGACCTCCAGATATGTAGTGGTGTTCTTCAGGATGTGTGTGTACACATGCATACGTTACATGTATGTGTATGCTACTGATCATGGCTGACAAATGACAGTCGGCATCTGTCTTATCTCCCCCAGCCTTATTTTCATCTGCTCTCGTTTATTTTAGACTTAATTAGCTCGTTTATTGCTTAATCTTTGGACGATAAAATTTGTGAAATTTATTCCTTTGCTGAATCACGAAAATGTGTGCTTATGCAACTTAGAAATATATCTAAAGTTACAGTATATACAGAGATCTTGTGTATAATTATATAAAAAATTTGCATACAATTGCCACACTACAATATTTTTGTAATATATGTAATAAAATATATATATATATATGTTCAAGGTATCTAATATATTATTTGTGTTGTTGTTTATAGATGGTACGAGCATTTCCTTGACTCATTATGCAAACGATGTAAATTATTATGATTCAACAATCAACAACAGCGATAATATAATTCCTGTAGAGAAATTCTATTTCGTGAGGGAACAGACGTGGCATAAGAATACAGTAGTGCCAATCTCCTTATTGCCATCTACAAAGGGAATGCCTGCGAGATCTCATCACAGGTACTGCTTAGGTGTTGCATAAGAATTCATCGATATATGTATCAACAATAATTTTATTAAAAGAATGAATATTACACCACATTTGTAAGATTTATTAAATACATAATTGCCAGTATTGATGGAGAAATATTTATTCTTTTAATTTGGTGGTGATAATAAAGAATTCTAATCAGTAATAATTTCACAATATTTCATGAAATATTTCAAGTAGCAAGTTTGATGACAATATACTCGATGTCAAAATACATTTGCTATCTGGAATATTTCAGACACTATCTTATGAAATATTTTAAGATGTACTGTCTTTTATCTCAAAGTACTTTAAATGCAGGATCCGGCAGTCCATGACTGGACTGGATGATGCTGGAATGGATCTCCAAGCGGCTCAGCTCAGCAGTCAATCAGACAAGGGAGTGCATTCTAAGATTGCGCTATCATGGCTAGATTGGCAATTGCCTTTCTTTGTGACGCTTTTTGTCATCACAGGCACTATTCTTTTTACATTTCTAGTAAGTACATATTTATCATATTTCAAGTATCATATTTATCATTCTTTACATAAACAGATGTAAATATATACATAAAGAGAAGTCTATTTTTTGTCCTTGGAAGACAAAAATATTTGAAAAACTTGTATAAATACAAGGAGATGAACGATTTGGATTCTTTATAATCATATAATACTAACTTAATATTTCTTAACAGATCTTGTTATGGCTGCGGAAACAAATGTCGCGTGAAAAGGATACCGAAGATGGCGATCGGCACGGTTTAGTAGAGGAAGGTGCCATTTGCCAGTCAGAGAAGCCGAGTAAAGATGCAAAGGGATCTGTAGAAGCCAAATGGGTTCACGAAGTATTTGCAAAGCAATCGACATCCACACACTCGTTACAACCGGTTGTTCAAACAACAGGTTTACCAGAGGTAACAAATCTTATCTATATTATTTTATTATGTATCAAATTACAAGGTGTTTACTTCCTAAAAAAACCAAGAATTATCAGAAATTTTTTTCCACTTTAAAAATTTTCATGGAAACTTTATTGAGATTCAGGCAATTTTTACGCACAGAAATTATTTTTGATAATTTTATCTTTATTTAGTACATATGAAATATGTGCCTAATAATATTTTTATAATTAAATTGTTGTTATTAAAATTTTGTGTGAGTTTGATAATCTTTTTTCAATCATGGTCATACGTAAGACTCATAGAAAATTGTTTAATTTTTAATAATATATAAATAAACTAATACTTCTTAAGATGTTTATAATATATTATTTTTGTTTTATATTTTAATTTATACTTTTCTGCATACATTTTTAGTTTTGATAGTAATATATTGTACACTTCGTTATTGTCAAAATTAATTTTATAATTAGTAAATTTTATGATTAATAAATATTAAATGTTAGAAAAACTGCATTCTTGGTAACTTTTTTTGCAATTATATAAGTAGAAAATATAAAGAAATTATACGATAAAGAAACTTATTTAATAAATTTTATCATCTTTTCACAAATTTTTTCTTCTATCTTATCTGGAATTTTAAATGACAAGACCTGAAAGAATCAGGCAATGCTTTTAAGATTAGAGTAGTCAAATTATCTCGTGATAGAAATGCTCATATATTTCTTTTCACATTAACAGGTAATGTCCGTCGCGACACCTGAACGTAGACCGGAAGCGATACGTATAAAAGCGAAGGGATTATTGGAACGACGTGGTTCAAGCACAAGTTTGACCATAGAATTAGCACAAGCTCCTGAAAGTCCACCGCATATGGTCACTCCCACTCGAGAATGTACGGCGGAAGAATTTTTATTAAGCGCAGGAAACGTATTGTCGAGGGCTCAGCTGAAGAGAGCTGTTAACGACCCACCAACGTTGTACAAAGAATTTTGGGAGGTGCCATTGAATCTCCCAGACAAGGTGGATGTTTGCGGTGCAGGAGTGAAAAATCGATACGTCTCTGTTTTGCCCAATCCGCAATCAAGAGTGATTCTACCAGGTTTCTCCGATGATCCTCTTGGCGGCTATATAAACGCCAATTACATCCGTGTATGTAAAATTATATATACAGGGTATCCCAGGAAAATGCTGAAACTAATCAGCTGTTATTTTTTAATGCATGCAGTTATTGAGAAAACAAAAATTGTGTTGGAAAGAAGAAAGTCTGCAGTTTTTAAGGGATATAAATAAAATATATACCAGTTTATTTTATTGATAAAAAGTAATAAAGAAAGTGCTGATTAGTTTTAGCATTTTCCTATGGGACTTTATATATATATATATATATATATATATATTATATGTTTTAGAAATGTCTAATAAGAGCCAAAATGCGAATAAGGAAACTTCTAAATAATTTTAGGCAATTTTATTAATTGAAAATTAAACGTTTCGGTCTCACTTTGGACCATCTTTAATAATTTTGTAGCAAAAAAATAGAAACATACAAAAAAAAATCGTAAAAAAGTACTCTAAAAATATGTATATGTATTAGATTGATGCACAAAACTTGAAAATTTTTTGATATATATATATATATATATATATATATATATATATATATATAACGATGCATAAGTATCTCTTGTCAAGTTGCACGAATTAAAAACTATTAATAGATTAAATAAATTGTAGGGATACGACGGCGAGGACGGTAGATATATCGCGACACAGGGACCATTAGCTCACACGATAGCGGATTTCTGGAAAATGATCTGGGCAGAAAAAGTTCCTGTAATTGTCATGATAACTAGATTGCACGAAGCGTCTAAACCCAAGTGTGACGCATATTTTCCCTTCGACGTAAACAACCGTATACAAGCTGGATCCTTCACCATTATCGTTAGCTGTATCGATATGAAGGATGGATATGCCATCAGAACATTAGAAATCAAACACGAAGGAGAACGGAGGCATTTGCGGCATTATTGGTATAATAATTATTATTATCAGATTATCTTTTTACAGGATGTCTACTCAAATTTTTGTTTAAAAAATTCCGTTAGAATTTTCTGATTTTCCGGATATTTTTGTTTAAAATTTCGGGTAAAATAAGGGAATAGATGCAGCTTTTTAAAAGTTCCTTTATACGTTTCTTAATGTTTTCTATTCATATGATTGAAAAGTTATCAAGAGCGCAGTTTTTCTAGCATTTTATATTAATTTATTAATTGTAAAATAATTTGGATAATAGAGTGCGATATATTATTATATTTAAACGCTAAAAATACATGCAAAGATCTAATATAAAATAAAAAAAAAAAAAAAAAATTTATTATAAATATCTTAAAGAATATTGATTTATTTAAATATTATCTATTAAAAAATTGAACAATTTTTTATGAAACTTACATAAGATATCTTGATACTGAAATAGATCTTGAATAAAAAAATCATATAAAATTTTAATAAAAAGTTAAATATTGCAAAGATATATTAAATATATATTTCTTAAGTGCTAAATAAGAATAATTATCAATAAGACAATTAAAAAAAAATTCTCTGAATCCCAATCAAATTTCATAAGAAATCCCTGATTTTTCAAGGTAAACAAAACTTCCTGAGAATTTATTCAGGTTTTTAAAACATTTTTTTCAAGAGTATGCACCCTGTTTTATTTTTAAATACTCTAGTTTTTGCTTAAATTGTTCAATTTCTCATTAAATTTTTTTATATTCATCTGACCAATAAATTTGATTGTAAGAAATTCTGATCCGATCTCTGATGATCAATTTTTTTGTAGCTCATGGATATTTTGGAATGGAATATTTTATGTATATTTTATTATTGGATTTTATATTTTTCTATTATATATATTTTATATATATTAAGGCTTCTGGAGCCTTAATATATATAATAGCCTTAATATTGTGACGTCAGAAACTCACACACTGAAAATTCTTGTGTGTTCTCTCACCTCTGACGTTACAATCTTACATGATCGGAGAGAAGCCAGGAACTTAAATATATAAAAAAACTAAACTTTAAAATGTATCAATAGGTACGATTCATGGTCAGATCATGCTGTACCTCAAACCGCAGATGCGCTCGTCAGCATGGCTGCAGAAGTAAACTCTTTACCAGGACCAGTGGTCGTTCATTGTAGCGCCGGTATAGGACGGACCGGATGTTTTATAGCATTAGCGATAGGAATGATACAACTCATGAGAGATGGAAATGTCGACGTGCTGGGTATTCTATGCCAAATGAGGTAAGGTTCTTCAAATAAGTTTTCACTTGATAGATTTCTCGCGAAAATATAATAGTATCTTTTTTAATGTTTTCTTTACATTACTTATTTTATATATATATATATATATATATATATATATATATATTATATTATTTTTATTTATTTTTTTAGATACGACAGGGGAGGAATGGTGCAAACAGCTGAACAGTATGAATTTCTTCATAGAGCACTTTATCTTTTTGAGCAGACGTTAGACAGTAGTAAACCGTCGACCTCGAGCGATTGAATGGATCATTATTTTATATTCAATACATTTTTCTCTTTTTCTTTTCTTGAAAGGGGATTTATTATTGCCTATAACGAGAATATCACTTCACACAGATGTGCATAAGTGTGCGCGCATGTGTGTGCTGTAAAACCGTGTTAATTCATAACGAATCTCAATCTATGAACTGGCGCTCCGATCTTTATCTGAATATTCGAACGACTTTAAACTCGTTTAACAAGCTGCCATTTACTATACTGCCATGACAAATCGTTGACAATTAATATCAATCGCAAAGCTCAAGAGGAGAAAAAGAAGTGCATTTTTTTAAGCAGATGCTTCTTTGAAACTGAGGTATCATAAATAGCTTAATATGGAGAAAAAATATTTATGTTTAATGAAGAGTGACGCGCACGATATGAATCGCGCAATGCATACGCTTAAATCAAGATCACATTATGCTATATATATGTATATATATATATACATGTATGTATGTATACATATATATAAGTTATGAAGATGTTAATATATAATTTAAAAAATAATATAAAATCTTCACAGAGACGCGGCGATAATATATTCGCGATTAGTATCATAATTTGTTTTTAAAGATCAGTTACTGAATCTAAAATCTAATTTTTCTATACATTCCTCTGTATATTATAAATTAGCTAATAAGTTCTAATTAACTTCTAAATGCGCAAACATATATAGAAAACCCGTTTTTGTGACTATAGCAATTATGATACTAATATTACGATATTCTTCGCTTATTCACTACAAAATAGATATAAAAAAATTTATTAAACTGTTCCAAAACGTAAGAATTAAAATTAATCATAATATAACTACTTTAATGGAATTAATAGTTATATCCATATAACACGTGAATAACAGAAAAATAATTACTAATTTATGGGACCCAATCGATTAGATATTGTCCTATTTCTAGTTCCTACTTGATTTTAAAGTATTCCTTTCTGATTTTTACTTTCGTTTAATTCTCATTGACTAAGACTGAAGGTAGTACAACATAATAATAGAAAAAAATTGATCTTGATTAATTTTAAATTAATTTTATAATATATACATATGCAATCATTACATTGAACAAATGTTAATTTTTGTTAATTAAATATGAAACAAATTGTATCTATATATAGTCTATACAAGTCTGAATTATATGAAACTTTTAAGTTGGAATGTATAGCATCTTGATAATTGTATAAATCACATATTCTCTGACTAATTTGGAATCATTTTTTCTCTACATAAATATCCAGGTACTAAGTTTTTAATTTAAATAATTAATTTAGTTGACAAATATGAGGGTCTTTCTATAAACTAAGCTTCAGAAATATTATAAGAAATAGATAACAAAATCATATTTTTCAATTAGACTTTTTTAAATAGACTTTGTCTTCATTTTGAAAATTTGAATTTAAAACTTAAAAGATATGTAACATTACAGATTAAAAGAATGACAAAAAAACAAATAAAATTTTCCTCTACATTTTTAAATATCGACTTTAAATTGGCCAAAGAATATACTATTAAATTTTCGAAATGTTGGCAAGACACTTTGGACATGAATATATTCACTTTAACAACAATGCATTTAGCTTGTATTTGTTTATCAAATTGACATTTATTTAATACAATAATTGCTTAGATTACAAATTAATAACTGAATAATTCTTAGCAATTAAAAATGAATTTTTATTAATTCCAAAAGAATATTATAAACAAATGATATATAAATTGATATCATATACGTCTATATTTCTTGTTCTTGTATTTTATGTATAGAGATATATTTAGGTATTATTTGTTTTATATTAATTAATTTTATATTAATATATTATTTAATTAATTAATATATTAATTAATACGTTCTATTAATATCTTATTATTATTTTATATTAATATATTAATAAATTTAATATCAATATATTAATTAATTAATTAATAGATTAAAATTGACATGTGTTAAAATAATCAACTGATAATTATGTAAAATTAAAAATATATTTTTGAAAGCGTAAATATCCATTTTACGCTTCCAAAATATTACACTTATATATATATATATATGTATACATTTTATTTAAATGTGTGAGATGCACTGGATTTAATATAAATTTGGATTTTGATTGCGAATTTAAATGACAATAAACGATTATTACATCATTAATATCTTTTGTTAGTTAAAAGCGTTTGATTCGGCTGCTAATATCTTTTAGGCTATTTATTAATAGAATAATAATCTTATACACACACAAAAAAGACACACATACATAATAAAAATTTTTTCGATAGTGTCAGCTCGAATTATACCTAAAATCCATGATAAATAGTATACGTGCATTTTGCGAGATTTTATAGCGACTATATAGTTCTCTTCTTGTGTCGTCAGATTTTGACTCATTCTCGACTTATCTTCAACAAACTCAATCTATCAGTTCAAACGGAATAAGATGTATTTAGCTTTTGTGTGTACACAAAAAGCATATAACAATTTCGTGCATGTACTGCAAAGAAAGTGAAGCTCTTCAATATATCTAGATTATTCATCTAGTAAATATATGAGCGGTCGAATCTTTTTTCGAAAATTTTCAAATCATTCAATATTACATATAAAGATTCAAATTGCTTTGAACATTATTTGAAAAGAGAAAATCTTGAAAGTCATGAAAATTTGACTTAAAAATGTTGAAAGAGTTTTTTAAAGGAAAAAATATATTTTGTTATTGTTTCTATAAAAACAGTATCTTGCATTGAATCTCTTATTAATAATTGTGTCTGTTTTATAGAAAATTTTTTATATGGTATTAATGTTATAAATTATTACTTATTTTCAGAGACAGAAAACATTCATTTTCAATTTTTTCAATACTCTAAGAATTGTATTTTAATTGTTCTATTCATATAAGAGTTTCTGTAATATAGATTTATATAAAACAATTATTTATAAGGTATTCCTCACGATTAAAAAAGCATTCGTTAAGCTGTTTCTTGAACAAAAAATAATTTAATTAAAAATATGAAATTTTAAATTATATGTTTATATTATATTATATTTAAAACTATATTGTAACAATAGTTGATTTCTGAAACTTTCTAAGATTTTCAATATTTTCATAATCTCTTGTCTTCGAATAATATTTAAAACGATTCAAAATTTTTAATATATATATATATATATATATATATATATATATTTATTTATTTGTGAAGTAATTAGCAATGTATTTGAATCTATTGCTATCCATATATCGCTTGTTATTAATTCAAATTATTGATGCCTCGAGAAACATTTATATATATATACTTACATGCATACAACAAACATGTAAATATATCAATATACATGTGTGTATATATATTAATATGTACATACATTGTACAGAAATGAAAAGTATATCTATAAGAGAGTATGTATTTGTGTAAGACAAAAAATATATATATTTATGAATGCGCAAAGCCGCAAGTGACTTAGCATAGATGTATAAATAAGCGATGGTAAAATAACAATAACAACAATAATAATAACAATGGTAAATAACAACAATAACACAACAATAATTTAGTAACCCCTTGGTGTTCAATTGTACTTATGTGATGTAATAAATGTTTATAGTATCCATGAAAATATGTATCAAATCTTTGATATTTTAGCAATAAGAGGAAGATGGAACAAACACATCACTCTTTACCATATAACTTTTCTAATTTAATTTAATTTAATTTTTATTTAATTTTTTGCAACATTTACAGTTATTTTTAACTATTAATTTGCAGCAAAAGGAACAAAATGGTAAAATTGCTGTTAGTTTCAATTTTTGAACATTATTAATATATGACAAAGAATATGAAATTTTAATATAAAAAATGTCTGTTTAATTACGAAGTTAACATTAAATTAAATAAGTTAATAAATTGAAATAATTTCCAAAATTTTAACAAATTTAAATTTAATTCAATTGTTTACAACAAACGGCTCGAATACTTTCTAATATTTTTTTCTTATATAAGATAGATATAGTTTTATTAAATTTATAGCTTATTAAATTGATATATATTTATATCTCTTGTTTATTAATTGTTGTATACGGTAATTTCCACAGTACTATATTTTCTCTTGCATTCACATTAAGGTGATAAAATTAATCATAGAGAAGATAGAATTAATATTATATTAAATATAGAAAATGTGTAAATAAATTATAAAAATTATTAGTGATTGTAAGACAAAGTTTCACTTTATTTTGGTCTATAATTATATTATTATTAGAGGCATCATTTTTGATGTTTAAACTTTTTTGCTTTAAACTGATGCGCTTATCTTTTTGAGATATTTTTCTTTTGAATTTTCCCAAATTTTTTGGATAACATTTCCATTTAATTTTTCAACAAATTTTCATATATACTTATTTCTTGCGCGAATTTTTCGAACGAAACTAATTTTGAATTACGTGATCCGCGTTCTTTGTTACATCAAAGATATATTTATCTCTATAGCCGCATAAAATAAAAATGCTATAATAGAATCACATTATTCTGAGACCCTCGGAATCAAGGTTGCCTGGTATTCATCTGTGGAATCTTAACTTCCATTCTATTTTAATGATACATATGCAAAATGGAAATTGCTCGTTTTATTTTCCATTCAATTTCTCGCTTTACGCATGATCATGTGGTCACGTGATGAATGAAGTAGGTGATAAAATTCCAATTTACAATTAAATAACTGGTTCGAATAAATAATGTCATTCAGGATAGCAAAGAGCACACAGAATAACTCGCATTTTGTTAAATATCGTAATTTTATCGATTTAAGTAGAGCATATTAAAAATTCTAGCTTAATAAATTTAATCGTATAAAAAATATAAGATTTGTTACATTGAAATATTATTGTATTGTAAGAATTTATAATAATCTATAAAAACGTTAAGAGATCTTTAATAAATATTGCCATTGTTTTAATATTTTAAAACAAAAATTATATTGTTATAATAATTACTCACACACAAATCAAACACAATCACAACAATTAATCATATATAATTTCGAGAGTTCTGCCATTACTTAATTAAGTAAAATAATCAAGAATTAATTAAATAAATAACATTTTTTATTATTATATTATTTATTATTATGTACAAGAATGTACATCGTTATTCATTATCATTTATCATTATATCACATTATTTTTGTTATTATTCATAAATATATCTTTTCCTTTAATATTATCTATCGGCTATTTCAACTGATCCAAGCAATCTTTCATTAACAGAAAAACTCTTCAAATCGTTAAAATGCGCGCGCAGATAAAAAAGAAAATAGTTAACAAGAGAAAGAAAAATCATTTAACTAACGCAAAAAAAGAGTGACCGAGAAAAACGCGCTGATCTGAAATCTAGTTTTACGTTAAAGTTGTTCATTTTCATATAAAAATAAAGAATATTTATGTAAATGAAAACTCTGTAACAAGATAGAACTACATAGAATGATTATATACTATATTATTTATTATAATAAATATATATATTATTAATTAATATACAACCTAGATATCGTACATAATTTCCATTTTCTATTTTTATAGTATATTAGCTAACAAGTGCGAGGGATCGTAAATCGGCCGATTTGCGACCCGCACATGTTGGTCATGATATTTTGTGACCGGTGCGTGGAAAGGAAGCCCTTTCTAAAATCCCATCATGTACGTAAAGGGCGACTTTTCGTGCGCCAGCTGCACAAGACATTTGAAAGATTCAAAAGACAATAATAAAAAAAAAAATAAAAAATAAAATCTAATTAAAAACGAAAGAATTTTAATGCTTTCTTCGTTTACTTTCACGCTCATCCCTACGTAGTTCGCGCTCATCTTTGCGCTTCGTCGTTGTTGAGCTACTACTGGCGCGCTTGGCCTGCTTCAAGAACTGATCTAAACCGAAGGGATCTTCTTCCTCCTTCTCAAACTGTACCGGTCCTGATCGGGTGGCCGATCTGTCAGTGCCACCAAATTGTTTATCGGGAACGAATCTAAAATAGAAAATAATTTTGTGTTAAGTTTACATTTATATAATATCGTGCAAAATATTTTAAGTGTTGCGCGCTCTATAAGAACAAAAATAGAAATAGAAACTTTACCTATTTGTTTTGATCAATTTTTCTAAATCGTCCCCGTACGAATCTTTGTCAATATTTTTACCAGGACGGTAAATATGTGAAGCAATTGAATTTCCATCCTTCCATGGTTTATCGTACACATTATATTCGTCCTCCTGCCCATAGCCGCTATCCAAGCCTTTACTGCTATTAAAGAGACGCTGGTCGAACTGCGCCTCTCCCGTATTGGGTATACTCTTCGCAGGTAAGCCGAGTGCTATCTGCTCGCTAATGTCACGCTCACGTTCGCGTTGCAAACGAGAACGTTTGTCGGGAGCAGCACGAGCTAAATTACGTTCGCGAGCACGATTTTTATGCCGTTCCTGTCTAAGTTGGTCCCGTTCGCGAATTTCTTCAGTCTTATCTGTAAAAAAAAAATCATGCCAACATTTGTTATTTAAATCTTCATTGCAATAGATTTTATATATGCAAATATATATATATAACATAATAAATATAAAAATATAAATGTCTAATATAAAATAAATATAATATAAATATAAATATATATAAGTATATATAAAAATATACATATATAATAAATATTTATATGAAAGTAGCAGATGGAATACATATATACAAACCTAATGTCGCGCTAGATTTCAATCCGGCGCGCTCCTCTCGGGCCTTTTGGGCGAGCTGCCTCAAATGATCCTCTTTCTTCTCCTTTTCCTTTTGAGCCAACTTTTTCTCCAACTGTGCACGCATTTCAACAGCTTGTCTGGCTTTTCTATCAGCGATATATAATGCTTCAGCCAACTTGGCAAAATTTTCGTTGATATGCACCTGCTGCAAACCTCTACCGTCCGCGGCAAGACGTTTGTCCAACGGAATGGTGTAACCCTGTCAGCAATATATTTCGTATTATATTTCAGTATTAATCTTTCATATATTTCGCTATATATATCGAGTTTAAAATTTTTCAAAATACCTTTGCATTCTTCCAGTTGGAGATGCAAGGAGGGATTTTCCACTCCTTTTGCTCCTTCACCGTGACTTTCCTGGTTGGCGAATGCATCACCGGTGCTGGAGGTGATGGAGGTCCTCTGGGAATCTTTTTGTTAATCCTGTAATAGAAAATGTTTATATTAATGCACTTAAGTTTTTATATCTGTTAAATTTCATACAATTTTCATTAATTAAGTCATCTTATTTTCACTCTACATACTTGAATTTCGGCGGCTCCATCGGATCCACCTGTGCCTCCACCATGCGAATAACTCTCTGCTTCGCCCCGGAATTGAACGATTGTCCTTGCTGAGAGGCGTGTAACGTATATATTGAGCCGGAGCTTGTTTCTCCGCGCATCTGACTGGCATAGCAGCCGCGATTTTCGATCTTGTTATTTTCTCCAATGCCTTTCTCGTTCGATCCGTAAGTTCAGCAAGTTCGTCATCGGGTGGTCGTTGCAAAGTAGGATCTTCCTCATTTGTTATTTCGGATGGCAATAAATCGGTCAGTTTGCTGTACACTATCTATAAAAAATTAAGTAACAGATTTTTATAAGATAATTAAGTAACAGATTTCTATAAGATAATTAAGTAGCAGACAGTCACAAAAGATAAATATAAAAGAAATACTAGATTTTTTTAAATGTAATCATAAAAAACCAAAACTTACTTTGTCTTTACTATGGCCCTGTTTCGCTATAAGATCATATTTTACTTTTCCCTGACCATCGAGTTGTACTGCCAAAGCATTGCTTGTGATTTCTTTGCCTTTAATACCCATTCCAAGTGGATATTGTGCCACATGAATTTCTGGGAATGCTCCTCCATCTCCAAAGTCCTATTCATAATGTATATGCATTATACTTTGGAATATTTTATGCATCATTCATTAATATACATCTTTTATTTAATCAAAAATAGTTAAAGTTATATTTAACCAAAATACTAATAAAAATTATACTAATAAATATTAGTAATATAGTTTCTAAAATGTTTTTAGCAAATTGCAGGCAATACTCACTTCTGGATTGCGTGGAACCCATCCTCTTCGCTGTCCATAAGGTGGAGCTGTAACAACAGCTTTCACAAGTGCCGAAACTGGTCTTTGACGGAGTTTCTGTTCACGTGCTTCATCGTCTTTGTCCCATACTACTTGAGTAGGAGCAGGTAACAAACTGAAAAATAAAAGAGAGACTATTATCAGAGATAGTACTCTACAACTCTATATAATTAATTTAAAAATTTTTTTTTTTTTATCATAATGAAAAATTATTAAAAATACTTTAATATATGTATATATATACATATATATATATTAATTATACATATATATATAATATATATTTAACTGTGCGAAAAATGTATATGAATGAAATGCTTGAAGTAGATAATATAAAAATATAAAAATTGCTCTTACTTCGTTAAAGACATCGTGATTAATAACGCTGGGCAGGAATGGCGGCGGCGCTCGGCTACGTGCTCTCCTTCCGGCCGTAGACCCTGTGTCTCGTGGCGTCAAGGGCGTGGTGGACGTTTCACTGTGGCACTCGGCCTTCTCGCCAGGGTCGTCCCGTGCGTGTACAGACCTTCGTCGTCGATTAATTGCCAAACTCGTCGTGTCCGCGCTGCAATCCTTCTCGAAGGACTGTTTGGTAACCTCCACGTGTTGATCACGTTTCCTGTTCTCGCGTGATCGGACGAGATCGAGAAAACGGAATGCTTTTTTCTAATTTTCACTGACTATCCGTTTTTCGTAACGTAATTATACACAGAATTTCTCGTGGGAACTAACAATCGCGCGTACTTACACGAATATTTCACAGATGACGTCACTCGGTTGAGCGACGAGACAAGAAAGACGCTTTAGACGCTGCGCATTACAGCGCATGCGCATCAGCGACGCGCCGCCTAAAGTCACTAGATTTACAAAGGATTTGTTTTCTGTTTCTGCACTAATAAACTAGTGCACACTGGTGCAATAGAGACAAGTATATTTTGTCTCACTCTAACTTAAGGCCGGTTGTTCCAATTCTCTATAAGTTTCACCCGACAAGTAATTTATCTTTGTCTCTTTTTTTAGAACTTATCTGAAAAGAGACGAAAGTATGCTACCTGTCAGATAAAACTTACCGAGAAGTTGGAAAAATCGGCTCTTATTGCATTAGTGTGCACTTGTGCACTAGTTCATTAGTGCAGGAACAGAAAACTATCCTAAAGTGCAATCCGTTGTCCTAAAGTCACTAGATTTAGAAAGTACCGTAATCCATTGTCCTCTTTGGAGTCAAAATGGCGTCAGGAATGAAACAATGCACACTTTGTGTAAGCTTTTGTGCAATTTTTTGTGATTTACGATTTTATTTTTCTTTATTCGCAAAAAATTAAATTATAAAATACATTTCAAACAAATATATAAGCTCGAAATTGCGTCAAAATGGCAATTTTTGTTACTAATTGCGGTACTTTGTAAATCTAGTGACTTTAGTACAGGAAGTCGATTGTGCAACTTTTTCTAAAGTAAAAACGTAAAAAGTGAAAAATTTCCAATCATGCATTGATTTTAAAATAAATCGATGTACGATTGGAAAAAGTTTTCTCTTTTCACATTTTCACTTTAGAAAAAGTTACACAATTGATCTCCTGTGCGCAAATGAACCTCTCCTGGGTATCGATTCTGTAACTTTTTCTAAAGTGAAAACGTAAAAAGTGAAAAATTTCCGCCAATCGCATATCAATTTTTTTAAAATACATTGGCTCGAAATTGCGTCTAGTGACTTTAGTTTTCACTTTTTCTAAAGTAAAAACGTTGAAAAATTTCCAATCATGCATTGATTTTAAAATAAAATCGATGTACGATTGGAAAAAATTTTCTCTTTTCACATTTTCACTTTAGAAAAAGTTACACAATTGATCTCCTGTGCGCAAATGAACTCTCCTGGGTATCGATTCTGTAACTTTTTCTAAAGTGAAAACGTAAAAAGTGAAAAATTTCCGCCAATCGCATATCAATTTTATTTTAAAATCAATGCGTGATTGGTGAGAATTTTTTATTTTTCACATTTTCACTTTAAAAAAGTTACAGAATCGATACCCTGGGATCTTCGGACTCCGATTGGCCGGTTAAATTCTGCACTTTGACGGACGGATTTCCGAACGTTTTTTTTAACGTAATATGGCGCCGTTTACGAGTCGCTTGAGTCATTCGTCTGTGAGTAAATGAGTTTATTTATTAATTGTTGTGTTGTAATGTGTCTGTGTGAGAGATGTGTATTGTGTATATATATATATATATTACTTAATTGAGTTATTGTGTTTAGTGAGACAAGAGCATTATTTCAATTATTAGATGAAACGTTTTATTTACGTTACTCTGTGTCGATGATTCGTGAGTAATTTTGTTGTTTTTCTCGTTTTCATAGATTTTTCGTAATACACGTAGTAGCAAAATCTATTCTTCCGAGCTATATTTTTTCTTTTTCTAAGCATTATTTCTCCCTACCTGTTCTTTTACATCTTTCTAACCTCCAAGTATAAAAAATATATGTATAATATCGGTTTGGGTTAGGTTATATATTATATATATTTTAGAATAATAAATATATATATATATACATCATAAACTCACAGACGTAAGAAATAATTAATAATAATAATATGATGGTAATAATGATAATAATTTGATAAAAATAATAATAATTTTTTGTATTTAAAAAAAAAATTTTTATAATTTCCTACGTATATAGAAAATATATTTTCTATATTTTTCTATTTATTTTTTATTTATATATAATATTTCTTATTTTAATTATAAAAAACAAATAAAAGAAGACAGCGACAATTTTAAATTACAGATCCGTGTTTTTTTAATAAAAATATACAATATAATATGATTCCAAAGAGGAAAACAGCTCTCCTTTAGTATTATAAGCAAATAATAATATAGAAAAAAAATGATTAACATAGAATGAATATTAAATATTAGGAATTTTATTTAAAATAAAATATAAAAACTGATGTACAAATACAGACATAAAACTCTTACTACTAATTTTTTAGCCTTACTAGTCCTTTTTTATATCCAAATTTATGTATTTGTTGTATACATATATATATATAATTTTTATATATAATTTATAAAATCTTCGAATTTAAAATTTTAAAATAATTCTTATTCCTAACATTTAATATTTACTCCCTACATTTTCTTTAATAATCAAAAGTTTGATTTAAAAAAAATAGCGTTTTCGAATAAAGCGGATTTGATCGATCCGAGATCGATAATTAATCGCAGTCATTTCTCTGAAGAATAAATGCTGTAATTGGTCGATCGCATCATTAATCGATCTCGGATCGATCGAACCTGCTTTATTCGAAAACGCTATAACATATCCCATCAAGCATGTCTTTAGACGTCAAATGTCATTTTGACATTTAATGATGTCAGTTTGCTACTCAGGATAGAAGAGAAACTTGGGCCTCGAAAGCGACAGAGACGGCCCTGAGAATCGTCCGCTGCATTACATCTCTCTTTCGCGCGCGCGTGTATGTGTGGATACGTATGTATATGTGTATGTGTGTGTGTGTGTGTATCGCGCGAGGAGGCTCGGATTTTAGTCCGTGACACGGTATTACCGCGACTCGAGCGCGGAACAGCAGTTCGCCGCGACTATATAGAAACAGGACGCCACGCACGACGGTATAAAAACACATCTACAGTAGTAATTGTTCGCATAAAAAGAATTTTACATATATATTTTTATCCTCGCGAGAAAAAGCGGAGTGCGCGCGCGCGCACGCGTAATAATAAACGCGTATGTTCATCTCTTCGTCCGCGCGAAACTATTCGTTCGGCCGCGTCCGCCGTGTATCGATGACACGCGTAATCGGTAGTCGCTCGCGCGGATTCGAGGCGAGTAGTTAGTGAGAAAGAGAGCGAGAGAGAGAGAGAGCGAGAAGGGAGCCAAAGTGCGTAAGGATCGAGCAAAGGAGGGCTCGCGCGAAAGGGTTACGCGTGCAACGAGTTAATATATAGGATATCTTTAAAAAAGAAAGAAGAAAAAAACGGAAGAAGAAGAAGAAGCGAGATTGCGAGCGCGGAGGAGCTTTGTCAGGTGGCTATGTGGGACATCGCGACGGAGCGGGTCTTCATCGCGGCCGGAACGTCGCGGAATGGACGAGCCCGTTGATCGGGTCCGCAGCAACGGGCTTCGACGAGGACCATCGACGCCGAAGGTATGGACGTCATCGGGGACGGGGACGAGCAGACCCTTCAGGCGATTCTCGGTGAGTTTTTGCTTCTCTTTTTTATTTCTGCGCCTCAAAGCAGCTGAACGCTGGATCCCAAACATCATCTCTCTCCCAGAACATCCCAGATAACATGTTCAAAATTGGTGCACAAGACATCATTAAGAAATCCTATGATATGATATCCTAAAGACATCTTAGAACCATCCTAAAGATGTCTTATGCGCCAATTTTGGACATGGTGCTGTCTGGGATATGTCATTTTGACGTCTAATGACGTCATTAAATGTCCAAATGACGTATGCTTGCTACTTTTAGGATATGCTGTGTCCCAAACATTATCTCTCCCTATAACAGCATCCCAATAGTAGCAAGTATACGTTATTAGACGTTAAAATAACGTCATTTTGACATTGAATGATATCCCTAATAGCATAACATATCCGAAAGATATTCAAAGGATATCCAGAGGACATTCGAACATCCTCAGGATGTTCTCTGAACATCTTCGAGATATGTGTGGTGTTAGGGATTGTTTTGACGTTTAGTGACATCAGTTTGACGTTTACTGACATCAGTTTGACGTTTAATGACGTCAATTTGCTTGGAACATATCCGAGAGATGATCCAAAGGATGTTTTTTCGATATCCTCCGAACGTCTCTGAGATCTGCTGCGCTGTCAGGATTGCGCCTTCTTGTTTGCGTTGCATATTGAACGATGTGTATAGATTTGTTCATCGCACGAATTGTTTGCATTGAGGTGTGTTACGCGCATTTTCTAAACGCGATTCATTAACCGTATAAACGCGGATCGTTCGAAGCGACAGCCGAGCTCACGGTGATAGCTACGGAATGTCGCGCGAATTTGACACCAACACCGTTATTGTACAGCTCGCTCGGCTGGACGCTTCTCTTCTCGAGTGTTGTGGCCACACGAGCGCGTACGTTGACCTTAAACGCACACCGGATGCGTTTTCATCCTTCAACGTAGATACAGTTAAGAGGAGCTGAATGTGGCCGACGTTGTTGGTTGGTCCAGTGATGCCTGCGATCGAAAATCATGAAATGGGATCTATTGGAATCGGTCCACAGTCTAGGACCCAATTGCAAGATTTCCTTATAGTGTTTTTCCACTTTGCGTCGCTCCATTTAGGAAGAGAACGAAGAGAGTCGGTTTTGCACTGACACCTTTTTGGTCTTTTTTTAGATCCATAAAAAGACAACAATGAAACGCGGTTGTCAGTTCAACACTTGCTCTTTATTGTTCGACATTATTTAAAAAATTTGATAAAAAGTGCAAAGAACCTTTTCTCTGTATTTCGCAAACAATCGAAAGATTCTTAATCTTTTGTTTACTTTTGATTATCTTTCCTTATAAAGTTTCCTTCTTAAATTTGATGATAAATAGCTGAAAAAACAAACTTACTGATCAGATATATAAATATAAATTAGATAGAAAATAGGATTAAAATTAGGCGCAACAAGAACTTGTTTAAAGATCCTTTATTCTGGTTCTTCCATTAGACTATCTTCAGATTAGCAGAAACATTCATTATGATATATTTAAAACAAAGACGAAATGAAGAACAAAGAGCGCTGGAAAAATATTCCAGCAACGATTTCAATTTTATTCGAAGCATAGTATAAAGATACACTAATTATTAGGGTTTCTCTAGTAAACCCAAAGACAATCTAGACTTCAAAAGATTAAAAGAGGAAAGTCATGCCGCTTATATGTATACGTTCATCCTACTTTTTCCTTGACTGCGGTTCTCTCCTCTCTTCTATACCTGTGGAAAAACCGCCTTCACATACTTGTTATGCACCTCTCTTAGTTTGATGTCTCGAGCATCAGCGTCGATTTTCTCGGCTGATGCGAGAATACGTCGCTCTCCGTATCCGCGTGTTCCACGCCGCTGAATAATTGCGATTACAAAACTTGGGACACCTTTCAAGACAATCGTTATATCTCACTCTCTCGCGGATATATTTGTATTTCTTTCGTGTGCACTCGCAATTTACCGCGTGTTCCACGCCGAGTGCATTCACCTGTAACGAGTCCAGCGTGGTATTCTTTATGTAGGTCGGAGGTTGTAACGCGCGTAATGTCTCCTTCGCTTCTCTTTCTCTTCTCTCGAGATGGATGTATCGTCTCGTTTAATAGCGCGATCTTTGAGATAAGAGCTCTCGTTAAATTTTTTTTACGTCATCAGTTCATCAAGTCGGATTTTATGGATGCATTTCATTTATTTATACGAAAAATCATAGATAGAACCCATGAAATTCATCCAAGTAGCAAACTGACATCTATAATGATGAATTTTTTGACAGTTGTCACTTTGACCTCTAATGACGTCATCGATGTCAAAATGACATGTGCTTGCTACCTGGATTATTATTACAAGTTATGTTTTTGCGACTTCTTTCAATTGGACATAAAGGAAATTTCTTATATAATTAATTTTTTTTAAAGATTTGAAGTATTTTCTTTGAAATGTTGATATGTGGACTCCAGGAACTTAATTTTTTTCTTTCGTAATTATGTCTTTCCAACCGTGTTTTATATACATAAATTTCTTGTTCTTTGCCTCCCGCATTCTGTCAGCATTAAAATGCTGTATTCTCCAGCCTATTCATCAACTATTCCACTGTTCTCTCTATTGCTGCTGCGAACCGATAGTGAAAGTCGCGTGGTGAATGTGCTTTTCCGTTTATTTGGAATTGGTGGTTTGATAATTCACGGTAACCTACCTATACCAGAACGGACAATGTATCGCGATTATGCATTCACTTTTGAAGGGTCCATGTCTCTATTTTAGTTAGCTTGTTTAGTTACGCTCTTTTAGTCGTATCTTTTATCTCTATCCTGTCACACAAATGACTTTTTAAAAAGATTGCAATGAATAAGAATAATGTATTTAATAAATGTAAAGCGTATTCATATGTACTGCTTGTTTTTATACTTATGTATGTGATAAAACACGTCGTGAGAGATGTGATTTACATGATGACAAAACGCAAATAGAAAGATACGAACTTAACCTCATTTTTTATTTATTTTTTATTAGCAAATAATATGATTAAACATATCTGGCAACTATATTGCCATATAGTAATAAATATTTAATTGCAATCTTTTTACCATCTTATTGCTTTATAGATTTATATTATATAAAACTTTGATTGTGAAGAAAATCAGAGAAAGGAAAGGAGTCTTTATTTGTACGTGTATAATCTGTTTTATATTATTTTATTTTATTTATCGGAACACTTTTTTTGAAAGAGAGAGATTGGAGAATAAATAATGCTGATGAATTTCGCATTTATACATATCGTTTATAAATAGTATAGCAAGTGGCTCATAAGTTGTTTAGCTTGTTACACTAGATATAATAATAGCAGACATAAATTGTAATAAGCGGTATGTGTTATCAAGAGAATCAATTTACTACTTAGAACTTACGCGCTCGGATGAGTCAAGATTCTCGCAATATTTCAAAAGCTTCGCTCTTTTTTTTTTAATCCTTATAAATCCCGACAAATATCCTCGATTTCTGGAGGAAGACAAACTCGCTTTATAATCGATAATTTGTTCCTGCGATTTATTTATTTATTAATTTTATTTTTTAATAATTTATATATCGAAACTTGACCTCCATTTGACCCTCGCAAATTTTTTCCGCTTCGAAGCTTAATCGAATTTCCCTGCAATTATTCCTCGCAGCAATTATATCGATGAGATCCGTTGGAGGGGATCTCGTCAGGTCGGCATCGATCGCGGCCTAAAATTTATTTCGGAACGTTTTTGCGACGAATTTAAATAAAACGATAATGAAAGCCGCGTTCGATCGTCCCGCGAGCTTAACGGCAATAGTTGAAGCACGCGGATGAATTATGGGATTTTATCGCGCATAGTATGGCCGCGCAAGCCAGAACCACCCACGAAAGCACATTGGTCGACGAAAAGCTACGCCAGATCCGCCTTTCGCGAAAAGCTCAGGCATGCGCGCTTTATACTCGCGGATTGAGTGGGAGAATAGTTTATTTACACCGAGTGTGTATTGCTGGCTCTTTGTATATAAAGAAACAGTCTTGTATATATGTAAAAATTGTTTTAATTAAAAACAATCAGGGTTGGGTAATAACTAGTTAATTAGTTGAAAGTTAATAATTTTTAATTTAGCTTAGTTTATTTAAAATGCATTAATTTTTAACTTTAACTAGTTATTTTTATCTTAAACTTATTAACTTTTTTCTAATAAGTTAAATTTTTTATCTCTGAATACGATTATTCTTTTTGATAAGTTATTAACGTATTATTTTTAAATTGACGTATTAATTTTTATGTTTATTTGTTATCAATTATAATTACCATAAAATATATTTCTATGTAAAAATGAAAATTTCTTTGTTATTTGTTGTTATACATTTTAAAAGAATTAACAATCAGAATTCTAATTTAATATAAATAATGTTTTTAAAAATTAACTTTTGGGGTTTAACTTTAGTTTAATCTTAACTTTAACTGAGTTAATTTTTGATCATGCAACTTTTAACTTAACTAAATTAATTTTATAAGCAACTAATTTTGACTGAACTTTAGTTTTAAAAAATCATTAACTTACCCAACCCTGAAAACAATCAAAAATCAAAAACAAAATAATAAACATGTAGGCATAAACATTTGAAGGGAGAGAACAAAAGGGAGAACAAAACTCTTATCTCTTCTTGGAATCAGTAAAAAAATTAAACATTATTTGCTCTTTTTTGAATAAACACTGGAATTTATTTCCATATTTAATATAAAAAAATAAAAATAAACAAAATTAAATTTAAAAATTATGGAAAAATAAAATTAAATAAATTTAATTATCCTCCCTCCTGGAAAATATCCTGCGAAGGCTTATGCTTGTATATACATATATAACTTCTGTATTTAATGTTGTACGATAAATAATATCTCTTCCGAGAGATTGTCGTATTTTTATTACATTCATAAATTAACTTTTAATTTGACAAATAACTCTTTTCCGAGAAA